GGACCTCGGATAATCCTATAATATGCCAGCGTAACTTGTCTATCTCTTCTTCCAGCTCCATGATCTTCTCGTCAGTCCTCAGGGTGCGTGCGTCGTATGTTGCCAGGTCGAGTCGCCTTAGGTGGCAACCGTACCTCCACCGGAGATTCTCAGCACCCCTGCCCCGCCGTTACCATGGTGGCCACCGTAGCCAGAAATAGCGGTGCCGCCGGGACTGGGAGCCGTCTCTTCGTAACTTTCATCATATTTGCCATAGTTGCCACGCTTGGCGAGCGGGTTGGCAACCGCAGTTTTTTTTGGCGAGCGGGTTGACAACCGCAGTTTTTTTTTGTTAAACTATCAAAATTAAAGTAACATACACAATCAAAAAAGCATCAAGTTATATCTATCATATTATTATTAATAATAATAATAATAATATTTCCTGCGTCCACCAAAGCCGGTAAAGAAAGAGTACGCATGAAATGGGATGATGATATTAACTGTTTTATCATGCGTACTTACTATTTAGTAACGAAATTAGAGACAGATTTAACTATGTACAGAAGGAAAATGTATAATAATTTCATATTAAAATATCCGAACTTAAATGTTTCTGAGCAAAGAATTGCAGATCAAAGAAGAACCATAATAACACATAAACTGCTTGCAGATGATATTCTGAAAACAATTCAGACCGAAGTAGCTACAATGCTCAAATCAGACAATTCCCTACAAAATGCAAGCATTGTTGATTCATCTAATAGCAAACAGATACTCCAATTCTCACAAAACACTGAACCTACATCCGGCACACTAATATTAACAACACTTAAACATACACCTGAAGCGACACAAGTTATAACACAAAATTCGACCACAACACAAACTCCTTTAAACAATATAATGCCTGCAGATACAATAAACGACTTTCAAGAATACGACAGTAGTAAAATAATAGATAATCTAATGGACTCATTGAAAGAATCTCTTTTAAAATACTCAGGACTAGACCCAGCATTGAGACCAAAATTACCTAAACTACATGAAGGAAAACGACTTATAGATATAATAACACTTTTTAATCAAAAAATATTAATAAACTTTTTCAATGAAGATTCCAATATAATAGACATACATAATTTGATATACTGTTCGGCCTTAGTTATTAGTAAAGAGCTAGGTTACAAAAGCTACAATAATACAACAAATTATAGCAAACAACGAAAGGAAACAAAAAAGCCGTTTTGGCAAACACGACTACAAAGAGATATAGAAAAACTAAGAGCAGAAATAGGTAGAGTCACGCAATATATTAGAGGAAATAGGTTCAGAAAACTAGTTTCAAAAGTAAAACTTATTCTAAAAAATAATCAAAAACACACTAAACACGAGAGATTAAATGCAAACGCAGAAGAAGTTTTAGACACATTAAAACAAAAATTAGCCCTTAAAGTTCACAGGCTTGACAGATACCTTAAATCATTACGGCGTAAAGAAGATAACAAAATGTTTAAAGTAAATGAAAAATTATTCTACAGAAATTTAAAACAGAATTTGAATAACCCTCAACCAGATACACACAATTCTAACTTTCCAACCGCAGAAGAACTTAAATCCTACTGGAGTAGTATTTGGGAATCAGACATGGGACACAATACTGAATCTTTATGGATTACAAAAGAAGAGCAAAAGTGGGATCATATAGCTGAAATGAGCTTTGATGAAATAACTGAAGAAGATATTACAATAATAACAACAAAACAAAAGAGCTGGAAGTCTCCAGGAGTCGATTCTATTCACAATTTTTGGTACAAGAAATTCTTTATTCTACACAAAATTATAGCAAAAAATTTAACTCAAATAGTATATAGACAACAAGAAATCCCAGACTTTTTGACCCGTGGTATCACATACTTACTACCTAAGGGCTATGATACCGGAAATCCCGAAAAATATAGACCTATCACCTGCCTGTCTACTCTTTATAAAATTTTAACATGTTGTATCGCGAGAAAAATTACCAAACACATTGAAACAAATAACATTTTAGCGGAAGAACAAAAAGGCTGTAGACAGAATCATATGGGATGTAAGGAGCAGTTAATTATTGATTCAACAATAATTAAACATGCTCAAACTAAAAAACGAAACCTTTACTGTACTTACATTGATTATAAAAAGGCATTTGACAGTGTTCCACATTCCTGGCTTATTCAAGTATTAAAATTATACAAAATTAACCCAACTCTGATTAACTTCTTAAGATCAATAATGTCTCTGTGGAAAACTTCTTTACAATTCCAAAATAATCAAATTAAAATAGTTACTGATGACATTTTCATAAAAAAGGGTATTTTTCAGGGAGATTCATTAAGTCCCATATGGTTCTGTCTCGCTCTCAACCCACTGTCTACCATACTTAGCCAATCTAATTACGGATATATTCTGAAAGATAGAGCTGGATACAGCACCTCTATTAGTCACCTTATTTACATGGATGATTTAAAATTATTTGCTAAGTCTGAAAAGGAAATGAAAATTTTAATAAATCTTACGCAAGAATTTAGCAGTGATATTGGAATGCAATTTGGCCTTGATAAATGCAGAACTGTGAGCATGAAACGTGGAAAATTACATGAACTAAACATAGATACTACAAGTAATGAGATTATAGAATGTCTCGAACCTGGACAATTTTATAAATATTTAGGTATAGAACAAACCAACCAAATAGATCATAAAAGAATTAAGGACATTACAAAAGAATACGTGAATAGGGTCAACCTCATCTGCAAAAAGCAACTAACTGCAAGAAACCTGATAAAGGCAATTAACACCTTTGCTATACCCATTTTAACATATTCTTTTGGAACAATTAGGTGGTCCAAAACAGACACAATTAATTTGGAACGAAAAACTCGCACAGTACTCACTAAATTTAGATACTTGCATCCCAAATCAGCTGTTGAAAGATTGACAATTAAGAGAGACAAAGGCGGAAGAGGTCTTATTGATATAACCGTGCTCAGAGAGAACCAAATCATGCGTCTTAAAAACTTCTTCCTTGAGAAGTCAACAAGCAGCAATATCCATAAAGTCATAGTTCACAATGATACTAACTATACTCCACTTAGACTCGCCGCAAACCAAACTCAAGAGACATATAATAAAATTGATCAAGAAAAAGAAAAAATAAAACAATGGAAACAAAAGGAATTACATGGTAGACATGCTAATGACCTATGCCAACAACATATAGATATATCAGCATCAAATAAATATTTAACAATAGGCACATTATTTGCCGAAACAGAAGGTTTTATAAATGCCATCCAAGATCAAGTCATCAGTACTAAAAACTATAGAAAATTTATAATTAGAGAACCAAATCTTTTAAATGACAAATGCAGAAAATGTAATTTAGTACCAGAAACTATACAGCATATCACAGGAGCATGTCAAAACTTAGCATCAACAGATTACACCCACAGGCATAATCAAATTGCAAACATAATACACCAAAAGATAGCCCAGAAACATAAACTCATCGATAACAATTTACAACCATACTACAAATATAAACCCAACCCTGTGTTAGAAAACACCTCACATAAACTATATTTCGATAGAGCCATACTTACTGATAAGACCATCCATTACAATCGACCCGATATAGTTTTGCAAGACAAACTTAACAACATAGCCTTTCTAATTGACATAGCTGTACCAAATACGCATAATATTCAAAAAACAATAGCCGAAAAGATTAGTAAATATAACGAACTGAGCGAAGAAATAAAAAGAATATGGAAATTAAATAAAGTTTTCATCGTCCCAATTGTACTCTCAGCTACAGGATTAATACCAAAATATTTGCATCACTGCCTTAAGTTATTAGATTTACCCTCAAATTTATATATTAAAATGCAAAAAGCAGTTATTTTAAATACATGTCGCTTAGTGCGAAAATTTTTACAAATCCCAGAAACTGCTCTGGATAATACATTAATAATACCAGCAAATGATGACTATTTGGCTTAAAGCCCGTATCATCATAATACCCTACATGGAGAAAAAAAAAAAGAGAAAAGAAAATAATAATTTATTTCAGACCCACATATAGTCCATAATTATGTTAGTAATTAGCTTAACCTATGTTAGTCACATACATTTTTAATTTCAATTATTTTTATTTTCTACACCCCATGACACCAGGCACATGCAAGTGCATACGCATCCAGTGTCCTAGGATGGGACAATCAAATTTATCAGATATTATTATTATTGCATTGTCACTGAAGTTACGGTATGCCAAATTTCAACTCAATCAGACATAGGAAAATGGTTCAAATCTTACTTGCAATATGTGAACTTAACACACATAGCTACTAAATACCAACCCACCCACATACTACAAATGTTTAAAAAACATTTGTAATAAAAATAAAAAGGTAAAATCAACCGTGTTGTGATCATACAATAAAATAAATGTACTTACTTGAAAAAGTAATAATGAAATATTTACTTATCTATTGTACTTCTTGGTATGGTTAAAGTATGATATATATATATTTTTTTTCTAGTATTATTCATACACGCAGTACAATTAACAACCATTATTAATAATACCACATTTTTACATTAAAATATTCAAACTTGCAACTAACAAAAGAAACATCGTGCATCGCACTGACCCTGAGATTGTTATCCACTGGCTGTGCCAGTGTAACCAGTTTTTTCCAGTCTCGCCAAGTACGCGACAAGCGGCCAGTGGTCACACATGCCCCGCATGCTTGTAGTAGTGCACCCGATTCAAGCGGTTGTATGAAGCTTTACCTGTGTTCCGTTTATTTACTCATGTGCCCCGAGGGCGTCCCGCGATTGGCTAGGCCTGGCGTTGATACAAAATTATCATGGTATTCTGTTTAGTCACGTTTAAAATACTAATGGGGGAGGGGGGAACTGAATTTATTTTATTACGCCTGCTTTTCGTCAATGAACTGTGTTTTTTTTTTCAGGAAAGAAAGCCAGTCGAATACAAGCCGATAAGGAGTGTACTGGTCGCGAATCGAGGTGAAATCGCTATCAGAGTGTTTCGAGCATGCACCGAACTGGGCATCCGGTCCGTCGCTATTTACAGCGAGCAGGATCGTCTACAGATGCACAGGTGAGTGACACAAAACTCATATAGTTAGCGTTTCTAGTCCGTCTGATCATATGGGTTGGTAACGTCTCTAACTTATATCTGTCATTAAGTTGTATCTACTGTTCTGAGGTGAATACAGAATACTTATTGTTAGTAGTCCGAAAGTGTGCTTGGCGTGTGGTGACGACAAGAGAATACATCCCTGTATATCGTCCCGTTTGTGTCACTAGAAATGACTTATATATATATATATATATAGTGACAAATATGAGTCCAACTGATAGTTGGACTCATTTGTCACTTTCATAATATTGTTAAAAAAATAAAAGTACCGATATAGTTCCAAAATATCGATACGATCAAAATATCTCCAGATTAAAATGTACTGGTGAGTCTTTTGACACTTTCACAAAAAGACCAAGTGTTATGTCTCACTGTATTTATTTGCTTTAATCTGTGTAAAAGAAACTGTGGCTTTGCTACTCTTAAGTTAAAGCCGATCAGCCAGACATCACAAGAATATTTTTAATCCACTTATCGTGACCGTAATATGCTTAGGATTAAAAATCATAGATACATGTTGTGTACGCATATACAATAACTAAAAACATCCTGTCCGGTCCGAAATAGGTACCGCATTGACATTACAAAAAAAATACATCTTATTAATGAAGTTAAAAATATTATTATTAAATATACATTTTTTTAATACAATTTGCTTCAAATTCTGCAAATTTTTTAAATCTGGTAACAACGTCGTCGGCGACGCGGCGGTATCTGTGAACGTGTGGTATTACTTGACAGCCGCCCGCGGCTGGTGTATTGCCATGTGAGTTATCCTATTTAAAAAAAAATGTTTGCGGGTTATATATTTTATTTATCTCTCAAAAGGGTTACATGAACGGAATCATATCAAGATACCTCAGAGACTCACTGTTCCTTATCGCATGGTACGAATTTGGTGGAAGGGGGCTAAGATTTTTCCGTCACGACCCCCTTTCTATAGTGCGAGCGAGATGGAATAATATATCTTGGCATGAAAGAAATATTATTTTAAATGACGCTTCATTTTAATGGACGCTAGTAATTCGTTTATTTGTATTTGTTAATCAATAATCTTTTTTTTAATTATTTAGCCATGCTACAGCTATATTGTGGTTGCAGCACGAATGTGTCGGCTCGCCCGGGGTGGGATCACACTCTCATAGTCTACCAACGTAAAATAGCAGCTTAGTGCTCCTGTGTTTCGTATGGTGAGTGTAGGGAACCGAAGACCCTTTATACTGGAAATGAGGCATTCCATCTCAGTCCTCAGGGGTGATAACGCATCTACATTTTGATTCTTAATTGAGAATAAATGTAGATGTCTATGGGCCACAGCATCCACTTACCATTAGGTGGACTGTGTGCTCGTTTGTGACCCTTATTCTATAAAAAATAATAATGTAATACGTTTATCAATAATAATGTACTACGAAAGGAACTTCGTTCCAACCGAGTGTTCCACGACACTCGCGCATGTTTTTTTAACATATTGTATATAATGTATGTAAATCTTCGTGGCCGTGATAAGAAGTCGTTGTTTTATTAACAGCTTATGCTTATGCTGTAGAGATTAATTACCATGCATTTGCATCCTTTGTTAGTATTATTAAAGTGAATACACAAATGAATGTTTTCATGCACTTTAAATAGGGGTATAGGTACTACAGTAAAATTATATATTTTTTTTAAATAAGGAGGTACTATCAACTTTTTTTAATATTAGAGAGGGGGCAAACGAGCATGCGGCTCACCTGAAGGTAAGTGACTACCGCCGCCCAAGAACAACTGCAACACCAGAGGAATTGCAGATGCGTTGCCGGCCTTCAAAAAAAGAGTAGGCTCTTTTCTTGAAGGACCCTAAGTCTTATCGGTCCGAAAAAAATTGCTAGTGGTATTCGATTCCACAAGGCAGTTGTGTGAAGAAGAAAACCTAATTATCCCTTATACTTTTCTCGCATTTATTTTAACCGTTTTGAACTAGAAAGAAACGGAGAAACTAGTAAACCTAGAACAAAAGCGAAGAAACTGAGATAGCGAATGTTTTTTCCCCGTGACCCATCATAAACATTTTTTCTTCACTATTCGTAGATAGGAAGAAGCCGTTAATTTACACTGAAATTAATACGATACTAACTATGAGGCATTCCATTTTCGACGTTGGACTAAAACTAATTGGAAGCTATCTTTGGTTAGTTTTTCACAATGGCTGCAATGACATCATGCGATGGACCGCAACCTTTTTTATCACTACGTTTTAAAAGTTTTTATCAAATAACTAATTGGCCTTTGCCCTTGTGTCGTCAGCAACAAAGAATCCATCATCCCATTTCATTCCGTTAGTGTCCAAAGAGACCAATGTAGACCTTATGGATTGCGACAGATGGCGTTTAAACATCTTAACGCAGAACGTAAAATACCCAGCCAGCGACGGAGTACAGCGTTAAAGGTGCGAGATGTGTAGTCGTCATACAAATGTGTCGATTAACGCAATTCCCTCCTACAACGAAAGATACTCATTTTCAGCCGCGGACTATTACGGCTGTAGAAGAAGAACGAATAACTTTATGCTAATTTTAATTTTAATGGAATATTTTACAATGACGCGTTGCTACAAATTTCGAAATTTTATTATATACTAGCTAGTCCCTACGACTTCGTCCGCATGTAATATAGGATTTTAATATTTTTGCGCGGAATCCTCTTTTTTTTTTAAATAAAAGTAGCCTAAGCTACTCCTTATAATATCAGCTACCTGTCGGTAAAAGTTCAAAAGTTCAAAATCGGTCCAGCCATTTCGAAGATTAGACAGAGAAAACAGACAGACTGACAAAAATTTTAAACATTGTGTTTTTGTTATGAGTACCGTATATACTTTCATATGTAGAAAACTGTTATTTTGATATTACAAACCGACACTTCAATTTTATTTATTTGTAGAGATGTGTAGACTAGCCGACACCCGACGCGTTGCTGCCGCCAAAAAAATAATTGTGGAAATATTGTTTTAAATCTGGAATAGTTATATAGTTTAATTAGGAATGATAATACATTCATTGAAGTAGAATGACATATTATGACGTTCAAATAAATTTGTCGGTATGTGACGGGCGCCACTTAATTATTGTACTACGTCTACCTTCGCCCAAGTGCAAGCAATAAGTTTTTTTTTTATAGGATAGGGTGACAAATGAGCACACAGTCCACCTGATGGTAAGTGGTTGCTGTGGCCCATCAGACATCTACATTTATCCTCGTATGCGAATCAAAATGCAGATGCGTTGTCACCGGTCAAAAGGGTCTCCGGTTCTCTACACTCACCTTACGTAACACAGCAGCGTTAACCTGCTACTTTGCGCTGGTATTCTGTGAGAGCGTGGTCCTTCCCCGGTCGAGCCGACCCATTCGTGCTACAACTATACTACTATTATAGCTGCAGCATGGCTCTACCACGTATAAAATATGGGGTCAGCACACCTCGGGAGAAGCCAGTTAACCAAGCTGGCTAAAACAAGTTGGTTCCTTTCAGCACGTCCCAAGCGCGACGCTGCACTCATGATACAATAAGATGACAGAGTTTTACCGCAATCTGATGAACAGTATGGCAGCGCATAAAATACGAACAAAAAACATATATTTTAATATATTTCATATTTTTGTAAAATAAGGATGACAAACGAGTTCACTTGATAATAAGAGGATGATGTGGCCCATATACCTCTACATCTATCCTCAATTAAGAATCAAAATGTAGATGCGGTTTCAACCCCGGGGACTAAACTGGAATGCCTCGTATCCAGTAAAAAGATATTCGGTTCTCTATACTCCCGAGCGTGGTCGTTCCGCAGTTGAGTCATGGCTCTACCACGTGCACTTACTGTGAATACTTTAAAATTAAAAATAAATTTATCAAATTGCTTAAGTTAGGAGTTAGATATTGACGATACGCAGCTGAAATTTAAATGTAAATGTTTTTGTTTCAATAATTTCGTATTAATTGCCCATTTTACAAATTTTTCCTTATACCGTTTGTTTCAGACAAAAAGCCGACGAGTCATACTTAGTCGGCAAGGGCTTACCGCCGGTGGAGGCATATCTTAACATCCCGGATATCATCCGAATAGCGAAAGAAAATGACGTGGACGCAATTCATCCTGGTTACGGACTGCTGTCTGAAAGGCAAGTGAATTTTATTGATTTTAAATTTTCTTTCGTCTTTTTTTTTAAATGCGTTACCCCCACACTAGGATTTTCTCCTGTATCGTGGAGGCAGTTTAGAAACATAAATTGCACAAGGACAAACATTCAGACCAGGAACAATTATTTGTAAGCCATACAAGTACTTGTTTCGTGCGGGATTCGAACCCACGGCTCCCAGTGCTGCAACTCATTACTAAGCCACTGCGCCACAGAGCCGTCGATTTTGAATTAACAAGTGTATTTTGGTTTCCGTTCATGTTATATTCAACCATCTATTTCTGCCACCAAGCAGCAATGCCACCACTGTTTTGCCGTGTATATGCAGCCAATAATAAATAATTGCAAGCTTTGAGACATTCCATCTTGGTTCTCGAAGGTGAGAACTCACCTGTAGCCGTCTTTATTTGAAGTTGTTTGTAGGTGTCCGTTTTGTTGTTCACGTCATTATCAATTTTATTATAACCATAGACATAAAGAGAATGGACTGTGCGTTCCGTATTCAGTTGTACAGTGAATACAGACCTAAAAGTGCGAGAGAGGCAAAGCGAATGTACGGCCAGTAGTAGTCTCTTTCGAGAATTCTGATTGGTCGACGTCTAATTCTGATTGGTCCACGTTACTGGCTTGCAGGACGTGGACCAATGAGGCTTGCAGGAAAGAGACAGGTATTGACCGCACAATCGCTTTCTCTTTCTAGAGAATGCTCACTTATGTGAGGCTAACGCTCAGTCCATTCTCTATGTCTATGATTATAACCATAGACTTAGAATATACTGGCGCTAGGGATTGACTCTAGTATATCAAAATTAATGTCGATATTTTTCTTGAATGTGAATCGATAGAATTGCCCATACAACAAGGAGATGAATGAAAATAAACGCTCAATTTGCGTTCTAAAAAAGTATTTTTGCCGTTTGTCAAACAGATGGATAGAATAAAAAAATGGATAAGTTTAATTGGGCGGGTTGGTTGAAATCCAAAGAAGAACTCTACAATTTTTAGCAAACATTTTCTTGAGAAATATAAAAGAAAAAGCAGAATAAAAACAATTGTATTAAAAGGAGCCATTCCTACATTATTTGTACCAGTAAGTATTATATTGTTACAGTAAGACTTCGAAAATTTAACTTCAATAACTTTAGGTAAAAATAGAGATAGATTTTATACATTCTAAAACTGTAGTATATATAAAAAAAACTTGAAACTATCTTATTTAAATAATGAACCCAACTGAGTATCTATTTATCAACCTTACTCAACCACCCGCACCTCACGGTCACACTAGTACAATATTTATATTATCACGCTATTTTCACCAAGTGATTGAGCAGAGCTTCGGATTATATTCCTAAGTCACAATGATAAAAGTTTTAGTGTAGTCAGGTATACATATTTAGTAAAGCTCCTGAAGCGCCGCTAGATGTCCGCGCATGAGACGCGCGGTTTAGTGTACCCGGATGGTATAAATTCCATAGTATTTGATACTTACAACGCCCGATGCCCGATTTATGCTTTATGCCCGACGACTGTGTGCCAAGTGCTTGATAACGTGGTTCATCGCCTACAGCGTTAGTGGTAGAGGAGAGGAACTCGTGGTTAATTAACAGCTGCCCGTATCAATAGATCTGCGAGATTAAGCTGACCTTGTCGCATTCAGTCCATGGACGGGTGACCATTTTCTTAACATACCGAAATTGAGAGAATAGATCTGCATCTGAATCCTCAGATATTTGGTACACTTTAATATCGCCTGCGTATTTGGCTAGCCTGTGTAAGATCATTATGTTTTTAAATTCATGCATGTAAAGTGATAATAAGTTTATTATTTTTCAGGGACAGATGAAACAGAGAGTAGCCTTATAAACATTTAAACGGATTAATCTTATTTAACTGATTCCAACAAGTTTACTTACTTAAATTATTAAGTTTAAATTCATATTTAAGTAGAATGTTAAAATTAATTTCTATGATATATTTAGTTATTAATTATTAAATGTTTGCAATTATTAAAAGTAATAGTTATATGAAAAATAAAGCAGTCATTATGTACTCCGTATACTGTCCATGGCAGTGAAGTTTTCTCCAAAGGTCAAAGCTCGAAAATACAACTTTCCGATTTGATTCTTGGGGGAAATGGTTTAAGTTAGACTTAGAAAGAGGTAGACTCACTTCTTCAGAGATTATTGGGACTATGTACATTTTAAATTAAAATCCATGTTATTTGAATATTTTTTAATTATTTTAGAACTATCATGGTAAAAATTCCGTAATTTTTTGAAATTATTCAGTTTCGTGCACTATACCATTTTTAAAATTTTTTTTTACCGCTACATTAACAATAATTTTTCGATAGTCCTTGTAAGTAAAATGTACATCACTAGCTAACGCACACAATGACAAATCAAAATTGGTTACACATTTTCGGGCTGTCATCTTTTTTTTATAGAATAAGGTTGACAAACGAGCACACAGTCCACCTGATGGTAAGTGGTTGCTGTGGCCCATAGACATCTATATTTATCCTCGATTACGAATCAAAATGCAGATGCGTTGTCACCCGTGAGGACTAAGATGGAATGCCTCGTTTCCAGTAAAAAGGGTCTCCGGTTCTCTACATTCACCATACGAAACACAGCAGTGTTAAACTGCTATTTTACGCTTGTATTCTGTGAGAGCGTGGTCCTTCCCCGGTGGAGCTGACCCATTCGTGTTACAACTATACCAGAAATATAGCTGCAGCATGACTCTATCACGTCAATAATAACACGTCTATACGCCAGTATATTCTAAGTCTATGATTATTTTTACAAGTAATGATGACAAGCCATTATAATGTGTCACGACATCATATAGAATATAACGTAATAAAACTTTCCATTTCCGTTGTTGTTGTGTCTAATGTTGCAAAACTTATTTCGTTATAAATATCCTAATTATCTTCTTTGGGTTTTAAAGCAGTTATAAAAGTTAATCACCCTAACACGATTTGAAATTAAAAATAAAACAATATGACTAATATCAGTAATAAGTATTTGTATGGCCTTTAAATATTTGTTCCGGGCCTGGTTGTTTGTCCTTTTGAAATTTATGTATGTAAATTGCCCCCGCGATACAGGAGAAAATCCTAATGTGGAGGTAACGTTTTTTTTTTTAAAAAAGAAAGGGAAATGCTGGGAACATCTAATCATTATTTGGAAGTTATGATTTCTTCCCGTGTACCCCCCCCCCTCCCCTGAAAAAAAAAGGCTCGAAACGTTAGGAATATAAAATAAGTTAATATAGGCAATAAAATAAACCGTAAAAACTAGTCATTTTAACTTTATCGTTATCATAGTCATCAACGATCTATTGTATTCAGCTTGCACTAACGATCTATTGTTACGCGTCTAACTGGCTGGTAAAATATCTAGAATCCAGGGTACCTGGTATTATGGAACATTGATACTATGATTACTAATTCAGTAGTCAATCATCCTCGCCTGAGTTTATTGTTTGAATGTGGACTGATGATGTAAATTAGATAGAATGCCGCATAAAAATTTACTAACATGTAGGTCGTGTAGTTTGTGTGGAGACCACTCTCTTTTACTCATTAACCATTGTTGTGAAAAAAATATGATTTGTATTGAAATCAAAACGAGTGTCAAGGTCGTAGTAGACGGTGCATGCTCTGAATATAAGCCTATTAACGCTGGTGTTCCACAAGGCTGCATGCTATCACCAACGCTTTTTCTTCTGCATATCAATGAAATGTCGCAAACCGGTAACATTCATTGCTATGCGGATGATAGTACTGGTGATGCTCTATACACCGGCCGTGCCAATATTTCTCAGGAAAACGTCGCCGAGTACCGAAACAAACTTTTGTCTCAAGTAGAGTCTTTGCTGAACAAAGTCTCGGATTGGGGGCGTCTAAATCTAAGTCCAGCTTAGTCCTCAGAAGACACGAGTTTGCGCGTTTACCGCTAAAAAGAACCCCTTTGTCGTATCTCCTCAGTTTCAAGGCACTTCCCTTGTTGCTTCAGTCAGTATCGGAATCCTCAGCGTTGACATATCGAGTGATGTGCAGTTTCTTGGTCACTTGGAAGAGAAGGCTAACTTGGCCTCTAAAAAGCTTGGCGTGCTCACCAGAGCGGGACAGTATTTCATGCCGGCACACCGCCTGCAACTTTACAAGGCGCAGGTTCGGTCTCACATGGAATACTGTTCCCATCTCTGGGCTGGTGCTCCCTAGTGCCTGCATCCAGCGTAGAGCGGCTAAAATCGTCGACGACCGACACCTTTCCGATCGGCTCGATTCACTGGCGCTGCGAAAAGATGTTGAATCTCTTTGCGTAATTTATTGCATCTACCACGGGGAGTGCTAGTAAGAGTAGAGTGAAGTTTTCTTCCTCGCACAACTTCCTTGTGGAATTTATTACCACCAGCGATTTTTCCGGACCATTACGACTTAGGGACCTTTAAGAAAAGAGCCTACTCCTTTTTAAAAGGCTGGCAACGTATCTGAAATTTCCCTGGTGTTGCAGTTGTTCATTGGCGGCGGTAGTCACTTACCATCAGGTGAGCCGCATGCTCGTTTGCCCCCATCTGCTATAAAAAAAAAAACACTTAATAATAATCCAGTAACATTATGAGGGTTCACTTAGTATACCAAACGTTAGTTCCTTACGCATTTAATACAGATAAAAGATATGATTTTCTATAATCAGTAATACGATAATTTATCGTAATTCGTAAATTTTATACTCTACTCTTACAGTTTGAACTTTAAATTTAACAGGTCAGATTTTGCTCATGCCACCATCGATGCCGGGCTTCGTTTCATTGGACCTTCGCCCCATGTGGTACAACAGATGGGTGACAAAGTCGCCGCCAGGAAAGCCGCCATCGAAGCAAGTACGTTGTTAAATAAATTATTTTCTCAATTGGTTATTACTATATTTAGCCTAGAGAAATAGTGAAAAACCCTACTTTACTCCAGTTTTAGGTCATAAAATAAAGTAGTCAGTTCAAGCAGTCAGTACGTTTTGATAAAACGGCTTAAGAAACTATTTCATCCTCTCAAATGATATCGATCATAATACTGGAAAAAGAGAAATGCTCGTTTAGTTTGTGATAAATATAGTACAAATCAACAGAATATTAAAATGCACAGCCTATACACGACGCACTGCTGGGGCACAGGTCTCCTCTCATTTCTGAGAGGGTTTTAGGGCAAGGAAATGTCCGCCGTGCTGCCCCGATGCGTGTTGGCGAACTTCACATGTCTTCAAAATATTTCTTTTATTTCTCAGATTTGTAGCTTCCCTCACGATGTTTTCCTTCACCGCCGAGCACGTGGTAACAAAACGTAAACGTAGTGATTTATATACTTTTTGTTAGGGGCTGACTGAGATGATTGCGGTCCGCAAATTGCTTCATGGCGTTTGCTCTAGTACGTATTACATAATCTCAATGTGTGGATATCTTACATACGATGCGATGGTCGATTTGCTGTACATGGCCTATGATCAGAAGTGGATTGTTCGTGGGCTGATGTAATAAAAGTATCACAACTGATGTTATTAATTCGCTTACAGAGGTTCCAATTGTTCCCGGCACCGACGGCCCTGTAACTTCAAAAGAAGATGCCCTTCAATTCTGCCAACAACACGGTCTTCCAGTTATATTTAAGGTTAGTTTTTTTAGACATGTTGCTTTTTGTAAAGTTTACATAACTGGATTGAAAATACAAATAATAAAAACTAGCGAGCTTTATAGTAGTAGCATATGATGTGTAACATCTGACATCTCGCCTTGGTATAAGCTACATTAATATTATATCCTGAAAAAAGATTAACCTCAAAATTAATAAAAGCTGAATACTGAAATATTTATTCAAATAATTATTCATTATTCCTCACTTGCAATTTTATCAATCATCTGCACTTTTTTCAGACACTTATTATTAACAGCAAATACATTTATGAATATAGTTTACACATATAAATTAGTTTAGCACACTAATACCACCGAGCGCGCTCAGTGTACAAATCAAATAGCGCTCGCTTCCTCGGATTCCTGTTACACACTTCCGTCCCTTTTCACGAAATCACTCCCACAGATTGCAAGTAAGCGAGAGGAAAGATTTTAAACAACAAAAAATACAAATCTACTTGAGACAATTCATTCATTCACTAATTTTTACATCCTATCAAAAGTCCATTGCTGAAATAATTTACATAGTCACTTGGCAGGTGGGTCGGCTACTGCAGTTTTTATTATTTTCTTTATTAGCGGAGAGGTAGTGCTGCCCATCTCGTGTTTTATTTCTGCCTGTCGCCTCTTACTACCACCCATATGGGGAAGTCGATAGTCGGAAGTCGAACAAGGATTATCTAGACCGCCGCTACTCAGCACAATATTGTAACCATCATCATCATTATAGTCATTCACAAGTCCACTGCTGAACATAGGCCTTTCCCAAGCAATGCCACAAAGCACGGTCCTAAGCCACCTGCATATATCGACTTTCTGTATGGCTTACCAGATCGTCCCTCCATCTAGTGGGGTACATCGTCCTGTGGGTGTCGTAAGAGTTGTCAATACGTCTGCCAAGCGTATGGCAATTTATGGAAGCCTACGTTCAGCAGTGGAGTTTTATAGGATGTAATGGAAGGGATGAATGAATGGATAAACCAGCATATAAGTTTTTTTTTATAGTATAGGGTGACAAACGAGCACACAGTCCGCCTGATGGTAAGTGGTTGCTGTGGCCCATAGACATCTATATTTATCCTAATTTGCGAATCAAAATGCAGATGCGTTGTCACCCGTGAGGACTAAGATGGAATGCCTCTTTTCCGGTAAAACGGGTCTCCGGTTCTCTACACTCATCATACGAAACACAGCAGTGTTAAGCTGCTATTTTACGCTGGTATTCTGTGAGAGTGTGGTCCTTCCCCTGTCGAGCCGACCCATTCGTGCTACAACTATACTACTAATATAGCTGCAGCATGGCTCTACCACGTAAAAAGTTTATATTAGGAACATGGCAAAAGTGTCAAACCTGCTAAACATCTAAGCGTTCCAGGAGGATGTAAATGGGTGTCCCTTTGGCAGGCAGCGTACGGAGGGGGTGGGCGCGGCATGCGCGTCGTGCGCGAGATGAGCGAGGTGGCGTCGGCCTTCGAGCGCGCCTCCTCGGAAGCACTGGGCGCCTTCGGCAACGGCTCCATGTTCATCGAACGCTTCATCGAGAGGCCGCGGCACATTGAGGTGCAGCTGTTGGGTGAGTGCCAACTTCCACTTACCACGCTGGGTGATCGCAGACCTAATATCCTTGCACTGGTAATATATCTTCCCACCACTAGTTATTTAAAGGATTTAGGTACCTGCTTGTCTTATTGCCATGAGGTGGTGGCGTTAGAGATTTCATCACTCCATTTTGTCCCGTGGCTGTCGTAAGAGGTGACTATATAAAATATCAGAAAAATGTTAGGGCTTGAAATAGATGACTGCATAACAACCTCGTATAAGAATAATGTCATCCAGACCGAATTTCGGTCACGGCGGCCAGTCTCAACGGAGACTAGTCATCCCTGCGCCGATTTTTTTTTAGTGGCCAAGTATATGCGCAAGCACAGGTGCACTCTCTATTCCCTAGCTCTCATACTCCAATGGGACGGTAAACCTAACGACCGGAGCGAGATCAGGCGCCGGACCAACAGCTTTACGTGCTTTCTGAGGCACAAGGGTGAGACACCGCCAACATCCTGACTCCGGGCAGCTACTGAGAATTTCTTGACGGAAAAACTCAATAACTGACCTCGTATACGCGAGCCGTAAAATACACAGAGTGATGATTGAGATTATATCTAAATCCTCAAGGATGACAACGCATCTGCATTTTGATTCTTAGTCGAGGATAATTGTAGATGTCTATGGGCCACAACATCCACTTACCATAAGGTGGACTATGTACTCGTTTCTATAAAAAAAAAACTCTTCAGTTGCCTCTGATGCCCAAACAGATATAAATTAGATGCAATTTTGTTATAAATACTCATTTTCAATCATTACCTATTGTTATTATCACAGCCCATTACAAGGCCACTGCTCAACAAATTGTTTCATCAGGTCGTCATTCCATCTAGTGTGGGGTCGCTTAACACTGCACTTGCATTACTAGGCTGCCACTCGAGAACGTCTCTTCCATTAAATGTTGGTCCTTCGAGCTACATGGCTGGCTCATTGCCACTTAAGCTTACTGATCCGCTGGGCTATGCCAGTTACTCTTGTTCTTCTGGTGATATCCTCGTCGCGGATTCTCTACTCATCTCAATCACACACAACATTTCATCAAAATCGGTTCAGCCGTTTAGGAGGAGTGCAGTCACATACACACGGTCAGAAGAATTATATAATATTTATAATATGCATATTTTATACATATAAACATTCCTAGAACCTTCCTATTCATTCGTAGTTTAAAAGATCTAAGCGTACATACGGCGGGAAGCGACTTTGTTTTATACTATGTAGAGAAAGACTTAATTACAATTTATTTGTTTATACATATATCACAGGTGACAAAGCAGGCAATGTAGTGCACCTTTATGAAAGAGACTGTTCGGTGCAGAGACGTCACCAGAAGGTCGTAGAAATTGCCCCAGCTCCAAGATTAGATCCAGAGGTAAAGTATAAGAAATCAACAATAATTTATCTTTCTGACAATTTTATATCATTTATATGTACAATATGATTGTTAGATACGATTTTATGCGACAAAACGGTGGAATCTTGATTTTTAGGCCCTAGTAGAAAATACCTACTCGCTTCGCACTAAAGGCATGCAAAATATACTTGATTTTATATTTTAAATCTACTTACTTATTTAGTATTTTAGTTTAAAAATAGTACTAAATTTAGTAAAATATTTTTAGAAAGTATTCTAATAACGAACCATATATATTTTTCTGTTTAATCGATTTTTATCGCTTACGCTATTTAGCAGTTGCTATTGCAATAAATATAACAAAATAATTCTAATTTATTAACACTAGCCCCCCCCCCCCCCCCCCCCTACGTAATTTTTGTTATGATTCTATTATTTATGTATTGAACAAGTGAATCGCCTCAGCAGAAAATAAAAAGGGTATTGAAATATGTTTTAGAATTATTAACCTCGCATTTTAAATAAAATATTTCTTTGTGTTGTACAGGTTCGTCAGAAGATGGTGGACTGTGCTGTGCATTTAGCTAGGCACGTTGGTTACGAGAATGCTGGCACCGTTGAGTTCCTTTTAGATGACAAGGGCAATTTCTATTTCATCGAAGTTAACGCGAGGTTTGTTTGAAGTTAATTGTTATCATTTTTCAATTTATTAACTTATGCTACAAATTCACCGCTGAGCAGCAGTATATAACCATTTCAAATGAGGTGTCCAGAGAACTAAGGCAGGTTTCAACCAAAGCGGAGAAGAGAGATGTGTTCTCATACAATTATTACACGAGAAAAATTCCAGTTTATTTCGACATTTAATACATGAAACTCCTCCTACACTCCTCTCTCCACATTGATGAAACCAAAAAATTATAGGTGTCAATTTGTAGACATGTTATTGTACTTAAAAAAATTTGACACTAAATGGGGTAACACGTCCACTACCACAAACCCGACTCTAGGAAATACATGCCACCATCCATAAATCTTATTGCGTATTAATGTTTTCCAATATATTAATTACTACATGATAAAAATGTAAGTGGAATACTAACACACATACGTCCCACTTGTCACTGATAGAAGAAGGAGAAGAGAAAGGAGTTCCCTATTATTCATGAGAGCGTTACGGGGTAGGAAAGATTTTGCCACGCTATTCCACTGCGAATTGGTAGACTTCCGAACTCTTTAAAATATATTTAATTTCTCAGTCGTTTTCTCCGTGACGTTTACCTTGCGAATAACAATGATATGGAAGTCAATCTCACCTTAGGCCCAAATCCTAATTACCACGGCTTATAAGGTATATGTATAAATTAATATAAAAGAATTGTTTAACTAGATTACAGGTAGAACACACAATAACAGAGGAAGTGACTGGCATAGATCTTGTCCAATCACAAATTCGCATCGCAGAAGGGCTTACCCTCCCAGAGATGGGCCTCACACAGGACAAAATCAAGACGCAGGGTTACGCTATACAATGCCGAGTTACCACCGAAGACCCAGCAAACAACTTCCAGCCCAGTACCGGAAGGATTGAGGTGTTCAGGTATGTCATTTGTACACTCGATAATTATCGACGGTTTTACACGTACTATCGGCAGTTCGTTCTTAAATGTAAAGGAAGGTTTTAATAATGAAAATGTAACACGACTATCTGGAATTTTTTAAATTTATTTACATGACAAATATCCAAATATTTTATGAAATATTGGAAAATCGATAGTACTTATAAGGTATCGATAGTACTTATAAGGTATCGATAGTACTTATAAGTTATCTATAGTACTTATAAGGTATCGATAGTACTTATAAGGTATCGATAGTTTTCTATAGTCAAACTAACTGGCCAGGCAGACGTTGTTCTGCCCTTACCGACGACCCTCCCTATGAAAAAAGTCCTTAAATTCGTAATAAAAAAATATTGAAGGTCACTTATCGGGATAAAAAGTATCCTATCTCTCAAGTTGGACCAAACAGCACACAGTGTACAAACTTTCATTGAAATCAGTTCAATAGTTTAGGAGTTCATCCCGGACAAACAATGTGACACGTAATTTTTATATATAAAGATTACTATGAAACTATCGATTTGTATTTATTCATTCATTTTTAACGGTACAAAGTTTAAGTTCACTAAGCACGGACTTGAGGCCTTGTATAAGCTATAGTTACATAATTTTGTTTATTTCTTTTAACTTGTAGTTACATCATGCATGAGATTAGTTATACAATAACCTTAGTAAAAAAAAAATGTTCCAGGAAATTTTTAAGTCAAAAATATAGATATTTAGTTGCTAATAACGTACGAACCTAGGTTTTCATTATATTTACATTTCCAAATTTTTTGAAAATTAGTTTATGTTTACGGGGCGGATAACGTTATAAGTTTTTTTGTGCTTCACAATCCACTTAAACAGAAAATTTGTATAAACATAACAAAAAAAAATAATGTAAAAAAACAATAGCAAGTTTTACTAGTAATGTTTCTGGTTAAACTTGCTATTGTTATTAGTAGCTAAACAGACACGTCAATAGAAGGGACAATTTGTCGACTCACACTTTTTGGACCGTACTTGGTAGGAATTTGGCGTCAGACGTTTGACACTGCACCGTCGCTAGACTAGCGTGTTTAACACCCGACGAAAACAGGAGGGTGTATATGTTTATAGTCTGTATCTGTGTTTCTGTCTGTGACGTCCGATTTTGATTTTTTCGTTTGAAAGGTGTCTTAATCGAGAGTGGTCTTAGGTATATTTCAAGGAAAATCTGTTCAGCCGTTTGAAGATCATCTGCTCTTTTTGTTTCGGATGTATTTAAATTTTTTAATTTAAGTTATAAATCTATCAGGTAGCGAAATAATATATGTAACAACAGCTATCAGACGCCATAAGATTTTCAGGCATTAAACAGACTTAAAGTCGAGCGAGCAATCCTGGGAAAGAATTGTTGACTAATGGAAACTTATTCATTTTCCTTATTATCATGTTCACCTTATAGTCCATATTGTCGGCTACTGAAATCTGACTCTACCTGAGCTCAGATCCATGCCCCCCTTGCTGCGCACCTGTTGATAATAGATAATATATTTACATATTTTTTTTTAGATCAGGCGAAGGCATGGGTATCCGTCTCGATTCTGCCTCCACGTATGCCGGTGCAATTATCTCTCCTTATTACGATTCGTTACTTGTTAAGGTAAGTGTACTCGCATAGCTTATAAGGAAAATGGATTGGCAATTAATGCCTCAAGCCTTAGATGTAAACATATTATTTAGATAGATTCGATACCAAACAAGCACATAGTCAATCTAATACTATTTGCCTTGATCTGGTCTAGCGATCGTTAACGCGACTGCCGATCATGTAATTCTGGGTTCGAATTCCGGATCGGTCCAAAAATAATAGAGCAAGATCCCAGGGCCAGCAGACGTCCAGGTATCTGATAATTAAGGTACGTAAAAACTTTACTCACCCCACGTTAATTTTTCTTTCTGTCAGCATTATCTCCTTGCAGACGCTTTAAAGCTCTCAAAAAATTACTAAATTTCACTTATATTCTGAAGCTATATTTTTATATATGTCAGTCAGACAACTATTTTAAAACGTTTTACAAGTAGGCAGACTGATCCAAGGGGTCCATCATCCCTGGAAATGAAATGGAAATGGCCCTCTGGCATATGATCATAGTATATACTAATACTACTCAATTTTACACATTTCGTTCGTCAGAAAATAAGTGGCGTCTGAAGGCCCTGGGATCTTCGACTATCAGTGATTGAGTTTATTCTGTATTCTAGAATTGGGATGTTGGCGGTGTTTCACTCCCATGCCTCGGAAATTTTTTGCGCTTAATGTCTCTAGTCGTGTTGGATTGGTGTCCGTCCTATTAGACTATGAGAGTGAGGAAATAGAGAGTGCACTTGTGACTGCGCTCCTGCTCTATAATCCTGTCCTGCGCAGACGGCTAGTCTTCGTTGATACTGGCCGCCGTGTCCGCAATTCCTTCTGGAGTATATTATTATTATGTGAATACTCTGGTTCATAGACACTTCGTCTACCCTCGATTAAAATTAAATTACAAATAGATTGTCACTTCTGCATTATTCTTTCCAATCTTTTGGCTTAAGTGTAGAGTTGATAGCTTTCAAACAAGTTCAATAGCCGTGACTGTAGTCGAAATCAGCCAAAAGAACATCAACATCATCAATCCACTGTTGGAGGCTGGTTAATATTTTTATTTTAATACTAGCTGATACTCGCGACTATGTCCGCGTTGCTTGGATATATCAAGAAAACACATCACTGAACACGTAGTGCTTATAAAAATCGTTGATTCTTAAAACTTGATTTTTTTTAGATAAGGACCAAGTGTCTAAGAAATAAAACTTACAGAACCTAATTGAAATCTATCCAGTAGTTTTTCCGCGATGCGCGCACAACTGCAAACCTCTATCATTTTATTTATATAGATTATATTATTTATCTATATATGTGTCTTAGGTGATTTCTCACGCTCATGACCTCGCATCGTCTGCAGCTAAGATGAATCGAGCTCTCCGAGAGTTTCGTATTAGAGGTGTCAAGACGAACATCCCCTTCCTGCTTAACGTGTTGGAAAATCCAAAGTTTCTGAGTGGTAAGTATATATGACAAGAAGTGTTTCGATGTTAGCACTTTATGTGTATATATTCCCTTATAGCCTCAACAATTAATAAATTACAATATCTTATAATTTGAATTTGCTATTTTCCGAAGTTTCTTCCTACATAGCATCCTATTTAGGATGATTTTAATTGTAGGATGGATGATATTTCATCACAAAAAACTATACTATTTCATACAAATTTCAAAATAGTAAATAATACGTAGCCCTAGATAATAAATCTTACTGTCATATTGTAAGGAAAGCCTATCCACTCTTACCTTGAAGTTCACACACACACATTGTGATCGAAGGGAAAGACAGGTGTTGGCTAACTAGAAAAAACCGAAACATAGCATGTACTGTAGTGTGATGGTATTCTGTGAGATTGTGGTCCCACCACCATTGAGCCAAAATATTCGTACTGCAGCCATAATCAACCTACAGCGTGGCTCCACCAAGTAAAGTAGATGCGTTGTTACCCCTGAGGACTAAGATGGAATGTTTCGTTATCAGTACAAAGGGTCGACAATTCTCTTCACACATCAAACGCAGCATGAAGCAGAATTACGCTGGTCCTTCTGATGGTGATGAACCGGATCCATTTTTGCTAGTAGCCGGATGGCCGGACCTGGATAGGCCTTGCAATACCAGTACCATTGCAATCAGCATGATCTGTTGTGCTGTAAGTTTATTGCTATTTTCACTTAGTAAGGAGTTGCCCAGATGAATGAATACTACGTTTACGTAATAAGCGTCCGCATTCAGTTAGAATCCTGAGGCTGATTCATTCGTGCTACATCTACTATAATACAGCTAAATTTAGACTTTTGTATACAGAGATATATTTCCTAAAACGAAATTCCAGGCGCAGTGGACACGTACTTTATCGACGAAAACCCCCAACTGTTCATGTTCAAGGCTTCGCAGAACAGAGCCCAGAAGATTCTAAACTACCTCGGCTATGTGCTCGTTAACGGGCCAGCGACGCCATTAGCCACAAACATACCGCCATCCGACGTCAAGCCGTATATACCGCCTGTACCACTCGGTGAGTTTTATTTTGATAAAGATTAAAAATAATTGGAGAGGCTAACTAGCCACACGAAAATCTGTGTCTGGCTATGCGTGTGCGTGTGTGCGTATGCGTGTGCGTGTGTGTGTGTGTGTGCGTGTGCGTGTGTGTGCGTGTGCGTGTGTGTCTGCGTGAGTGCATGCGTGTGGGATACTCGGATTGCATAATTCGTAGTTTCAAAATGTTCTTGTTTCGCATTTTTATTATTATTATTTTTTAATCCATAAATTGTTTTCTATAGTTATATTAGCCCCCGTATAGTAGGGTAGGTGGGGATTTTGGGATTTACGCAAGCGCGACAGAATTTCACAAGAGGGAAAACCTTGCACCCTGTTGAGTACTCCTACCATACCTGAGCCCTTTATATAGGGTCGAGCGTCTAGGGCAGCCGATCAGATTAGTAAAAAAATCGATCGTTAGAAAAAGTCGAGCGCTTCAGATTAAGGCAAGGTAGGCTAATTACTAATTAATAATAGTTTGAGCGCCACATAAGGAAATGGGAGAGTCACAAAGTTGCAAAAAAAAAACGTTACCTAGACATTCTCAAACGCGGTTATTTATATTACGAATTACGAATATATCAATGTCACAGATGAGAAATCGGTCATGACTTTTGGTCGTGTCTAAATAGTCTTTTTTTATAGGATAAGGGTGACAAACGAGCACACAGTACACACGATGGTAATGGGTTGCTGCGGCCCATTGACATCTACATCTATTGTCGATTTCGAATCAAAATGCAGATGCGTTGTCTCCGTGAGGACTAAGATGTAATGCCTTGTTTCCAGTAAAAAGGGTCTCCGGTTCTCTACAGTTACCATACGAAACACAGCAGCGTTAAGCTGCTATTTTACAATGGTATTCTGTGAGAGCTTGGTCCTTCCCCGATCGAGCCGACCCATTCGTGCTACAACTATACCTACTACCACTATAGCTGCAGCATGGCTCCACGTAAAAATATCTGTATTTTGAATAGGAGCTACTTGAGGGTTCACTTAACAATTAGGTAGATTAATATTTTTCCGTTATCAGAAACACGTGGGGCGCATACACTATCAATATCTGAAGCGCCCGAGTATTTTTTGTGACAGTTTTTTTACATTTTTGAAAACCTGTACACCCTCCCCTACCAGTGAAAGGGCATACATTATATAAACCTTTTTTCTTTTTAGCATTTAATCTTCACAATCCAATAGGTCCCTAGGACGCTCTAGTAAATCCCTATTTAGCCTCTTGGACTCCCCTACTATTAAGGGTTATAATATCGTCGCCATAATGGGAACCACAATGTATGTCTACTCATATAAACATATTATGTGTATAAATTTATGTCGAATTGATAATAATGATAATGTATAATAAAGTTTTTGTTTAGTCCAGTACTAAGGCTACATACGGTATTTTTTTAAATATTTCAATATTTTCTTTCAGTTTGCTCTGGGTATGGTATGTGCAAACAATCACCATTCCTTGTTTGGTATATTTATTTGTCTAAAATTTGTATATTACTGACAAATTCACAATTATATGTATTATATATTATTATTATCATCTACACATACTGCAATCAAAAAGGTTTCAGTGACATTTGGTTGTGGTTTTGATGAGTGTAATTTAATACTGAAAATAAAAATAAAACATCAAATAGAATTAAGAATGTATCCGGAGACAATTTCTTTTTGTATGGAGAATGGGGCACACCACAAATTTTAGCGACACTTAATGAAATACATGTCGATTTATTTCTTATAATCTATAGATTACAATAGTAATGTTAGTTTTACAGAATCTAAACGGAATACTGAGAAATTAGCAAATAAAATATTAATCTTACTATAACCTAAAAACAAACTAAAAGCGATTGTCTATTAGTTTTTACCGGTATTATAAGTTAAAATATATTGATAAAAAAAATTAGTGCACTGTTCAATATTAATAGTATAAAACAAAGTTGTAGTTGCATTCAGCATTTATAGATATTACCCGTGTGGTTAATGGATGAGATTTAAAATGGCGTTGCCCCTATTCAACTTTCGCTCACACGCTGTCGCTATCTAACTCACACTCGGAGGTAAAGACAGCAAAAAAATTACGTTTGCGATATGCGTTTTTCGTACGTTTTGTAACTATTTAGTAATAATATTTGTGTTAGATGGAAGAACAAATATAAAAATAATTTGTAATAAATTGACACAGCTTCGTTCCACCAATTCGAGTTGCATAATCCGAGTTCAATTCGAGTTACGTGAACTTCAACTCGAGTTGAGTTTCTCCGAGTTGGTACGTCTCTACTGCGATTATTTTTATAATATTACATTACCAGAACCAATGAATTGAACACGAATATCAAAACAACTCCTTTTTTTAAATTTCATGATTCCGTTTAGATTTTCAAAAAATCTTTAGGCTATTTACGACAATAAATTGGTATCTTTTTTTGTGTTATTCTCATTGAGGGTCGTTATAATTTCTAGTGGGCCCTAAAACTATTGTCTTCTTTGAAGGAGTGATAATATTTTAGTTTTCCATTGTCATTATTATTTGCTACTCATTGTTAACAAACTTAATTTTTCTTATTTTACCATACTCTCCTTTTATTTTGTTCGTTTAAACTGTTTTTAATCTGTGCACACCACACGCATTGCTGCACTTTTTCATTTTTTTACTAATAATAATTTCAGACCTTTCCCCCGAGGCAGTAAAAAGACAGGAAATGACTGGTGAAAACACAGGTGAGGAAAGAACGGCAATAAATAATATCATAGTCGCTGAATGTCTCAAAAAAATAATGCACGTAATTTTTCATAATATTTATACAAATTTTAGCGAAATTTTTAATTTGACTGGTGCATGCATTGAAAATTTAAGTGTTTATCTAATACTTAGTATCTTTTAAGAAAAAATATTCAAAACATGAAATCCCATAATAAATGAATTTGTATCAGTGTACTCCTTTTATACATAATTTATTATATTTCAGCTTCAGCTTTCAGCTTCCCCCCCCACCCCCCACCCCCCCAGTGACGCCCTTGACAATTGTCTACTAATACTAAATTGATTGTCTAACACACATGTTGATGTATAGCCATTGACCATTTCATTGGATTTCCTACTAACATTTTTATTGGGTCTAGTTGGCCTGTACAATATAATTTTAAAAACAGTTTAGCGATCCTGATTATACTGGTGCTGTGTAGTGGCGGTGTAAGAATATTCACTTCCTGTATAGGCTCGTGGGTGTCATAAAGGCGACAGAGGGAAACAATCAAGGAGATGGGCAGCAGCATGTATCTTTAATAATAACAAAAAAAAAGTCGGTAGATAGCCCGCTTGCCACGGATGGTAACTATGGCGAACATATGAATATTAGGTAATTTATGCGGGAGATTTATGTTCAGCTGTGGACTTTTCACAGTTGTAATAATACATTATATTAAAAAAAAATTAAATTAAAATGATAATGACGGGTTAAATTTATAGATTAATAACGGAAGGTGTACTATAGTAGCTCAGGACATAAAGTGTCCGCATAGTAGGCTAAAAACCTTTTTATATAGAATAAGCGTGACAAATGAGCATATAGTTCATATGATGATAAGTGGATAGTGTAGTTCATACAGAGAACAAAATAGAGATGTGTTGTCACTTATGAGCACTTAAATGGAATGCTTTGTTTTTAATACAAAGGGTCTCTGGATTTCTACGTTAACCATACGAAACACGGTAGTAGTAAGCTATTCTTTTACGGTGGAATGTTGTGAGACCGTGGTTCTACCCCAGTAGAGCCGACCCATTAGAGCTACAATCACAATATGACAGGAACGTGGTTCTGCCATGTATCAGTTCTTCGCCTGAGTCGGGTCCTCTCCAAAACCAGCGGATAACTTTTTTTTAAATTTGGATGTTTTCGTAATTAAAATACTAGCAATGCTATTAATATTAATAATATTCCCTTTAACCACTTTTGGTAAGTTTAAAATGCTTATGTTCGGATTGGTTTACGACAGTAGTCGAATGGCGGATTCGAATCCGCGACCGCGCCTTGTCATTAGACTACCGAGGCTTATTTAGCATAATGGTGAATGACGTGTGGCAGCGGTGCAGCCACCCAAGGGGTTCAAGCAGATCCTGGACGAGGGCGGGCCCGAGGCGTTCGCGCGCGCGGTGCGGGCGCGCGCGGGGCTGCTGCTGATGGACACGACGTTCCGCGACGCGCACCAGTCGCTGCTGGCCACGCGCGTGCGCACGCACGACCTGCTGGCCGCCGCGCCCTACGTGGCGCACCACTTCAGCAACCTCTACGCGCTCGAGAACTGGGGCGGCGCCACCTTCGACGTCGCGCTACGGTCAGACTCGCTTGCTTTGCTAATCTATACATATAAATAATGTGTATGTTTGTAATATCCAAATAACTATCTTATATTGAGCTGGAATTAGGGAGGGGGGAGGTAGTTAATACAACACGCTACATACATAATTAGCCACTTAAGTTTAAAAATTTGTACATATTTCATGTGCATATGTATGCATAGTATAACAAAATAAAAATAAAGTAATTTGACAGATAAAAAAGTATGTATAGTTATAAATTCTGTTAAAATACATCATCATCATCATCATCATCATCATTACAGCCCTTCACACGTCCACTGCTGAACTTAGGCCACCTGCATCCATCGACTTTCTGCATGTCTCACCAGGTCGTCAATCCATCTAGTGGGGGGTCGCCCTACAATTCGCCTACCGATACGAGGCTGCCACTCGAGAACCTTTCTTCCCCATCGGTTGTCGGTTCTTCAAGCTATATGGCCTGCCCACTGCCACTTCAGCTTACTAATCTGTTGGGCTATGTCGGTTACTCTGGTTCTACTGCGAATATCCTCATTTCTAAGTTTATCACGCAGAGACACCCCGAACATAGCCCTCTTCATAGCTCGCTGAGCGACCTTGAGCTTCCTCATACGGCCAGCAGTGAAGGACCACGTCTCAGATCCGTAATTCATCACTGGCAACACGCACTGGTTGTACAATTTCGTTTTCAGGTTTTGAGGTATGTCTAACGAGAAGATGTGTCGTACTTTCCCGAACGCTACCCAGCCGAGTTGAATCCGTCGATTAACCTCTGGGTCGAAGTTGGACTTACCTAGTCGAACTATTTGTCCCAGGTAAACATACTCGTCAACAACTTCGAGTTTAGTGCTCCTAACAACTACCGGCATAGGTCCACGTCCATACGTTAAACATGATTTTTGTTTTGTCCATGTTCATCTTAAGACCTATCCCTTGGGAGACACTATTGAGGTCATTGAGCATAATGCTTAGGTCCTCCAGCGATTCTGCCATAAGGACTATATCGTCGGCAAATCGAAGGTGAGTGATGTACTCGCCATTGATGTTAATACCGTATCTTTTCCAGTCCAGTAGCTTGAAAACGTCTTCCAATGCAGCGGTGAAAAGTTTCGGGGATATAACGTCACCCTGTCTTACACCTCTCTGCAGTTGGATAGGTTTCGTACTCTGATTCTGTACTCGGATAGCCATCGTAGCTCTACTGTACAAACACTTCAGCAATTCCATATACCTACAGTCAATTTGGCACCGCTGAAGGGACTGCAGCACCGCCCAAATTTCGACGGAATGAAAGGCTTTCTCATAGTCCACATACGCAAGCCAAAGTGGCAGATTATACTCCTCTGTCTTCTGTACAATCTGCCGCAGGGTATGTATGTGATCCATGGTACTAAAGCCTTTTCGGAAACCGGCTTGTTCGGGAAGCTGGAAGTCGTCAAGTCAACTCTCGAAAACAGCACGTAGACGCGACTGAGAAGGGAAATCGGTCTGTAGTTCTTCAAGAGAGCGTTGTCGCCTTTCTTTAAGAACAAGACCACCGCACTTCTGTTCCACGACTCCGGAGTAGTGCCACCATGGAGGACGGAATTAAAGAGCTTCTGAAGGACTTCAAGTACCGGTTTTCCACCCGCTTTCAAAAGCTCCGCTGTAATTCCGTCCTCGCCCGGGGACTTGCCGTTTTTAAGGTGCTGGAGAGCCATTCTAATCTCGCTCAGACTGACGTCCGGGATATCTTCGGAATAGTGTCGGATAAGACTCGCTCTTGGATCCGTTACTCATACTTGCGTGTGGCTCCAACGATGATTGTGTACAGCTGCACATATTCTGAATCTCACCTAAAATCTAAGGTGTCCCGGAAACGATGCTGCCACACTCGGTCTTCAGCTTTGACAGTTGGCTCTTTCTGGCAGACAGATCTCTGGCAAAGACTTTAGAGCCTTGGTTTCGCACGATCGCTTCTTCAATACAAGCTGTATTGAAGTTGCGCAAGTCCCGCCGCATGCATTTGGAGATCTGTCTGTTCAGTTGCCTGTAAGCTGTCAAATCTGTTGAAGAATGTAGCTTCATCTCCCATCTAACAGCCATGAGATTATGAGTGTGATCGGAGAGTTTTTGTGTTCTTCTGCGGCGGGTCTTGCAGAACTTAGCTCCGACCGCATGGACAGTTTCCACGAGCTTGTCATTCATATCGTCCACTTCATTGCAGTCTTCTAGGCACTGAAAACGGTTTTGTAACTCGAGCTGAAAGGTTTCGGGACTTTGGAACAGAGCACGAGGGGGACGGAGCGTTGACTTAATTAGACGAGACCTCTCCAAGTTAACGTTTAGGTTCAGTGTGCCTCTAACCATTCGGTGATCGCTACCAGTTTTCACCCTCGCGATCACGGAGACATCACTAAACAGTTGTCGTCTGGTCGTCATAATGAAGTCAATCTCATTTTTTGTCGAACCGTCGGGGCTCGACCAAGTCCACTTCCTGTGGAGCCGCTTCTGGAAGAAAGAGTTCATCATAAAGAGTCCCTCTTTCTCCATGAATTCGGCCAGTTGCTGGCCCCTTGAGTTTCGTTGCCCTATTCCAAATTTCCCTACTTTCAGCTCACCGTTCTCTCTTGTGCCTAGTTTTGCATTGAAGTCTCCAATTAACACCGTATAGTGGGTTTTGGAGGAATGCATGGCTCTAGAGATATCCTCATACCTCCACCTCCTCATCGGGATGAGCCGTGGTTGGTGCGTAAACCTGTATGCCCTTCAACGAATACCGGTTGGTGATTCTGAGTATAAGCAACCCTCGTTGACACACTCAATCTTTACAACCTTGTTAACGAGAGACTTGTGGACGATAAATCCGACACCTCCTTGAGACAGATGGTTGCCCTCCCGGTGATAGAGCAAGTTGCTGGATTCGAGGATTACCGTGTCCTCCCCCTCTCTTCGGACCTCGGATAATCCTATAATATGCCAGCGTAACTTGTCTATCTCTTCTTCCAGCTCCACGATCTTCTCGTCAGTCTTCAGAGTGCGTGCGTTGTATGTTGCCAGGTCGAGTCGTCTTAGGTGGCAACCGAACCTCCACCGGAGATTCTTAGCACCCCCTTAAAATTCATTTGCATCCAATTAAGACAATTACAACTATTTTGCACGCCTCATAACGCGAAGCGCTTGGTAATAAATAATAATTATTTTTAAGTTTGTAGGTCTCCTAGTACCTTAGACATTTGACATCCAACAAGTAACGAAATAAACTTACTATAATAAGTAAACTTGAAGTTTATTAAAATTCAAAGTCAATTTTTCACCTATGTGACTCGACATAAACATTACCATCGTACCTTACCTGAACTTCTCTCTCTCTGTCTCTCCACTGACGTGGCAGTCTACTTGAACCATCGCCTTTTGGGGGTTGTTAAAGTAAATAATTATTTTTGTTCTAAGGTTTCTACACGAATGCCCTTGGGAGAGACTGGAAGACATGAGACGGTTGATCCCCAACATTCCGTTCCAGATGCTACTGCGCGGAGCCAACGCTGTTGGATACACCAACTATCCTGACAACGTAGTTTACAAATTCTGTGATATGGCCGTAAGTAATTCAGAACATTTCACATACAAAATTCTTTAAGTTGTTGCAAATTAAACCTTAAGTTTTTATTATTAACGTGCATTTTCAGGTGAAAGCTGGTATGGATATCTTCCGAGTTTTCGATTCCCTCAATTACCTTCCCAACTTGATCCTCGGTATGGACGCCGCTGGTAAAGCGGGTGGTGTCGTCGAAGCTGCTATTTCCTACACAGGAGACGTCTCCGATCCCACCAAGACGAAATACGACCTGAAATATTATTTGAACTTGGCAGATGAATTAGTTAAAGCCGGAACTCACATATTGGCAATCAAGGATATGGCTGGATTGTTGAAGCCTCGTGCCGCTAAGTAAGTTAATGTTTGTTTAAGATTTAACACTTGCTGTTACTCGCTTGTGTTCGCTGGGCGTAAATTAAAGTTTACTCGCAATCGTTATAAAGGCATAGACGTACATAGGATACTGTGTACGTCAATTAATTGCCTTTCAACTTTCATATTGATGACATTATAACCACTCAACCGTCCACGGTGACTACAGTCCCCAAAAACCATTATTGCCTCCTGTCTAGGCACCAAACGACAACCGAAAGAGGTTTAAACGCGTACAGCTCAAAAGATAGCTGTTATTAATACAGTAAAAATATATAGATGGTGCTATATGAAACTTGTCGTCTGTGAAAGTGAATTTTATCTGTATAATAGTAACAACATATTTAGAGAAAAAAAAAAGTTTAAATTAAATTTCCCCATTTTTGTTTGTGGAATGTTAACGTGTGAGAAATTCGATCAAAAATGTGATAACTTTTCTGTTTTTATACGTTATTTCTAATGTTATTGTACATCAAACTAACTGTGAAGATATTTTCTTTGGTAAATATGTATCTTTACGACAATTCCAAAACGTTTACATATAATAATTTAGCTCTAAATTTTAATCACTATACGCGATCATCGTTTATTGATTATATGTTGTGTGAAATGTATTCTAATCAGTTTTTTGTGTTAAATGAATGCAAAATATAAAATAATGATTCATTATTAACACGTTGATAGCAATTTATAAACGAAATATTTGTTGAGATGTGTCTAGAAATTATTAAAACCTATTTTTTTTTTCATTTATTTACTTACTAATCCCAGCCGCCAAATTTCACGAACGCACATCGCGGCAGAACTCCCGATACCATCCACACCATCTGGGTGACTGGCGGTCCACCACTGTGCGATTTAGGAGATGTTTTCTTCCTCGCACGACTTCCTTGTGGAATCGATTACCATCAGCGATTTTTCCGGACCGATACGACTTAGGAACCTACAAGAAAAGAGCCTACTCCTTTTTAAAAGGCCGGCAACGCATCTGCAATTTCCCTGGTTCCCCTGGTGTTGCGGTTGTTCATGGGCGGCGGTAGTCACTTACCATCAGGTGAGCCGCATGCTCGTTTGCCCCTTGTCCCTACCCCTCTCCTATAAAAAAAAATATCAAATTTATATTGGGTAAACATTATATACTTATGTATGTTAAGTATATGTATAAGATGTTAATGATATTGGTGTCATTTAAAAGGGAATATCATATACTATTATAATATAAAATAATTGTCTCCAGTAAGTATTACACTTTTCTTGTAAAACTCGAAATAAAAAATGAATACGTTTTTTTTTATATTCCCATTTTTCAGCTTTATTTTCAGACTTTATTTTTAATTTGACTAATTTTCTTTTAACAAAATAAAATTTTGAATTCTTTGAGTCTCATGAGAATATTTTTTATTTGAATGTAGCTATTGTAGTTTTTCAGTAGTAATCGTTTTTGTTAAGACTGTCTCGCGCGGTCGTAAAAAATAGTGACATTTAATTCGCGGACAGGTCAGGCGAGAATCACTCGCGCAGGGCGGACGGTTGAGTGGTTATGGACCAAAAATTAATTAATAGTTTCCTAGTTTAGATAGCATGGGCATAAAATGATAAAATTCATACATGCTTTGTTTTTGCGATCTCTTGCGTTTTGTGTGCCACAAGGTTCCTCATTTAATCCGATATATTTTATCAATGTTATTTATATAAGGTTGTTAAAACAAAGGAATTAATTTAAATTACAAACTAACATTATTGTTTGACGATACTTATTGCACATTCTGTGTTATTTCATAGAGAGCATATCTGTCAAAGTTGCCACGATTGACAGGCATCTTCTTTTAAATTACCTCTGTCAAATTGAATCGTCTCATTCAGACCTTACAGATGTGACCTTATATGATTGGGTACCGATTACATATTCTTTGCAGAAAAAAATTGCGCGGGTTTGCGAATTCCTATTTACTACATTATTACAACTGACTGATGATATTATATGGGTGACGCCCCTAGTGGGAGTGTCAAAGTTTTTTAACAATATTCACGTAAATAGATTTTTTGTAAAAAGTTATATACATGTTAGTGTAATTTATATGTATCTATATGGCACTGCCTAATATTTGTTTTGGTCCCAGCGTTAGCTTTCTGAAGGTTTCATTTCTACTCCTTGCGAACTACACACGTTTTTAACACGCTTTTATTAGATTAGTATGTATCTATGTAACGTAATTTTTCTTCTAGACTTCAAAACGTCGGATTGATTTGAAACTTCGCATACTTATCAAGGACCGATGGCAATGCAATTATTCTGTCCCATTATCCTTGCCAGGATCCTCAGGATTTGCGAATAATTGATAAAACAACTACAATTTCTGCCAGTTCAATCTACTGTAAGCCGCGTAAAAGAACTTCGTTCCAAAAAAACACGCTTTTGTTGTTAGCCGCACTAAAACTAACATTAACGTCGCCAATGTTCATAATACTTTGCACGCACGCCTCGGAAGTGACCTTCGTGAAATTAGCCTACCGTTTATATCGTCGAAAAAAAAATTATGCAGCGCGCGTATCAAATCAAAATGCACCTTATGTCAGCGTGCGAGTGTCTGTATCACTTAGCCCGTTACGCGCCTTTGTTAAGACCACGTCTACTATAGGGGTTACGTGTTGTGAGAAGACAAATTGAATCCTTTTATATTAGTTGTTATATAGTAGAATACACCGAGGTGTTATGCAATGTATTAGAATTTCTTTTATTTTATTACTTTGTTAAAAAAAACCTTAACCCCACACTATGATTTTCTCCTGTATCTTGGAGGCAGTTAACAAACATAAATTGCACAAGGCCAGACATCTAGACATTACTAAGCCATTGCGACACGGAGCCGTCACTTTTCTGTTTCACATTATTTGCTATTTACAAACATGCGACACGCTTCATTATTAATGAAAGAGTGGCAATGAGAATTGCTGATATATTCAATCTCTTTCTTTTATCGACCAAGTGTTAAACTAATAACCAGTATATGCTGAATTTGCATTAGTAGGCAGTGACTAGTACTGGGAGGTCTACTTACACTGAACTAATTTAAGGACATTGACATTATACCCGAAAAAAAAACGACTAAGCTGTGGTCGGGTCCCTAACAAATAATAAGTCTGTAACTATGGCGTCAGCAACTAAGTACCTAATTATCTAGATCTACCTATAAATAATAGGCCTGGTATTATCAATGTTTGACAATAACCATTTACAAAAATGTTTTCGAGGTGGACCATCGTAATTATTCAGTGCTTGCACACGTTGTTAATGAAAGGGGTGATATCCAGAAGAATTCTGTAGTTTCCAAACGTAGTACTGGTTGTGACAAGTAATACTACCTACGAAAATTTAAAAATGGAACACTCGATACGTAATGAGGTCTAGTCAACACTGTCGGCCGGCTAGGTGAACGTACCCAGCGGTGTAATGGAAAAAAAAGGGCTGGGAGACGCGTTTGTTTTTACCGAGTCAAAACAACTATGATTCCTTAATCTGTAACCAAGCGCGAGCGTCGAACGCCAACGACTGCTTCTGAACTCAACACTCCCATACAAATGTGTGTGCGGGCATATAAAATAGTAGGCGCTTTATAGTTATAAATCACAAGCAATAAAAATAATGCATTTCCACACTTTTTGAATATAAAGGATAAATAAAATGTTTCAGGTTTTTTCTTGTATATTTATATTCACCGTTCGCTTATGTTATCTATTCCGAACCTCCTCTGCAAAGGAGATGTATGAAATTGGGTTGTTGACATCGTTCGTAACAGTTATACAAAAATATGTAGGTAATATAACGATAAATTATAAGCATAATTAAATAGTTCTTATTTCTGCAGTGTATGGGACAATCATAAAAACATTTTTTTAAACTGAAAAACGAAAGCTAATGCTTTTACCATAGCAAAAACAAAACGTTTTTAAATATTTTTATGTATTCTGTCTATGGCATTAGATAATGAAGGCTATTTTTTGTAATAAATAGGCTTCAGTATCAAAAAAAGCTCATAATATTGAAACATTGAGGCGAATCTGTAGAGATTAATACTGAATAAAACAAAGCTATTTAGAAAATAAATTAAATAGGCTACCTTATTTAACTAAACAAAATATTTGAATAATATCGGACACGATTGAATAGGCTTTATGGTCGTTGATCATTGTCTGTTTCGAGACTTGGTAACTTTGAGTTTAAACTTGTCATGCTATTTGGCATAATGGTTGCATTTGTGGATATATTTCGTGTTTTTATTTTCGTGAATTAATTTAACTTGACCCTTGGCTTTTCTCTCGATAGTAGGTTGTTGCGCCCACATAATGACAATAATGTGTTACTTGGGTTTTGAGAGGAATAGAACAAACAATGTACAGACTCAGGCTACTTTTCTAGATGACATTTTATTAATAATTGCATAAAATAATTAAACAATTAGAAAAGTTTGAGTTGTATTTTATTTAATAGTAACTAAAAAACGGCATCCTTTTGTATTCTTTTCAATTTATTGAAATAACTTATCCCAAGAACGAGTGATTTTACTACATAACCTACAAATAATAAAACGAAATAAAAATAAATGCTTAAATCTTCAAAATAAGATATATTTGAACTTTGTTTACGCCGGGCCCAAGCTTGTATGGAACGAAGTTCATCTCCTTTGGCCGGTAATTGCAAAATAACCCTGTATAAATATAAAATCCCACATTTTAACATATCACTCAAAACATTAATAATATTTTAAATATCTTCATGAAAAATAATAGTTAAAATAATACTTAGAAAGCGTACACCCTACCCTTTGCCGTCGGCTACTCACAACGAACCCACGGACTTCCGGCTACATACAATACGTGTTTTTTCTGACATTCCTAAACATATTGTCTTCGACGAACGCGTGATGAAAATGTAATCCGTGCAAAGCACCGGAAATAATTTATTCATGTCCATGGTGCATATAATAACAACGCGCGATGCGTCTGTGTGACTAGAAAGTATCAATGTTGGTGTTCTATAAGAAGTCCACGCCCAAAGACTAAGGTTTTAAGATGGCTTTGTGTGATATCAGGTTACTAATCACGGCGATCCGGGACAAGCACCCGTCGGTGCCGATCCACGTGCACACGCACGACACGTCGGGCGCGGGCGTGGCCTCCATGTTGGCGTGCGCGCACGCAGGCGCCGACGTCGTGGACGTGGCCGTGGACGCCATGTCCGGCCTCACCAGTCAGCCCAGCATGGGCGCCATCGTCGCCTCGCTGCAGGGCGACCCCCTACACACAGGTACGTACGTGGACGTGGCCGTGGACGCCATGTCCGGCCTCACCAGTCAGCCCAGCATGGGCGCCATCGTCGCCTCGCTGCAGGGCGACCCCCTACACACAGGTACGTACGTGGACGTGGCCGTGGACGCCATGTCCGGCCTCACCAGTCAGCCCAGCATGGGCGCCATCGTCGCCTCGCTGCAGGGCGACCCCCTACACACAGGTACGTACGTGGACGTGGCCGTGGACGCCATGTCCGGCCTCACCAGTCAGCCCAGCATGGGCGCCATCGTCGCCTCGCTGCAGGGCGACCCCCTACACACAGGTACGTACGTGGACGTGGCCGTGGACGCCATGTCCGGCCTCACCAGTCAGCCCAGCATGGGCGCCATCGTCGCCTCGCTGCAGGGCGACCCCCTACACACAGGTACGTACGTGGACGTGGCCGTGGACGCCATGTCCGGCCTCACCAGTCAGCCCAGCATGGGCGCCATCGTCGCCTCGCTGCAGGGCGACCCCCTACACACAGGTACGTACGTGGACGTGGCCGTGGACGCCATGTCCGGCCTCACCAGTCAGCCCAGCATGGGCGCCATCGTCGCCTCGCTGCAGGGCGACCCCCTACACACAGGTACGTACGTGGACGTGGCCGTGGACGCCATGTCCGGCCTCACCAGTCAGCCCAGCATGGGCGCCATCGTCGCCTCGCTGCAGGGCGACCCCCTACACACAGGTACGTACGTGGACGTGGCCGTGGACGCCATGTCCGGCCTCACCAGTCAGCCCAGCATGGGCGCCATCGTCGCCTCGCTGCAGGGCGACCCCCTACACACAGGTACGTACGTGGACGTGGCCGTGGACGCCACGTCCGGCCTCACCAGTCAGCCCAGCATGGGCGCCATCGTCGCCTCGCTGCAGGGCGACCCCCTACACACAGGTACGTACGTGGACGTGGCCGTGGACGCCATGTCCGGCCTCACCAGTCAGCCCAGCATGGGCGCCATCGTCGCCTCGCTGCAGGGCGACCCCCTACACACAGGTACGTACGTGGACGTGGCCGTGGACGCCATGTCCGGCCTCACCTCCACCTGAAAGGCCCACTGCTGCAGGTTTTCGTTGCCTCGTTGCACGCGATCTTTGAGCTGAGCACGAGACTTGTTCCAGGTGAGCGTCGTCATATCTTGTCTACACGTGCTGCTCGTACATCACTTCCTTACCGAAAGCTTCCAGAACAGTTAAGGCCTGGTCGCGCAGGCCTAGGGCTCACCCTGTCATGCAGTTATGACCTGACTTTTATTCCAGCCGTTCGCCTTCATAACGGCATCGAACTGGATTTTGTAGGCCGACCAGGAAGAAGTCCCGTCGAACGGCAGCACTTTGAATCCACGAAGCAAAGGTGTTGTAGCTACCACGGGAGATGTAATTCCATCCCCAAGTTTGAGGTCGTCCCGCAATTTCTTCCCATCAGCTATCACGTTGGCCATCCGATTGTACACTTGGCTGATTCAAGTTTCAGCTTCCGACAGGCGGTTGTCATGTTGAGCAACCCTATCTTTTACCTCCCTTATCTCTTTTCCGAAGGTAGCGTGAAGGTCCTTCATGAGGAGCATTTGCTCTTCCATACTACGCTGTAGCTGCTCTTCCAACCGACGGGCCTGTTCCTCCTGTTGGCGGGCCTATTCCTCAACTCCGCGATCTTAGCACCTCATGTGCGGAATTTCTATTGACCAATTAAACTATCTGAAAGGTCAGAAATTGTTCGTAAAAGGTCAGTTGATCTTATTAATTGGTCAGCGTTAGAAACATTTTTATTAAGGGTTAAAGTTTTTAAGGTCATTGAGAAATTTTAGCACATCATTCGCGAAAAAAATAAAAAATTCCACCTATGCGCGATCGAGCACACAGGGCGACCCCCTACGCACAGGTACGTACGTGGACGTGGCCGTGGACGCCATGTCCGGCCTCACCAGCCATATTTGGTCTGGAATGATACATCTTTTACGGAGTTCTTTCATAAGCCTTTGCAACAAAACTTTTTCACAAACTTTTGATGTTACTGGTAACAAAGTCATTGTTCGGTATGAGGTTATTTCATGACCAGGTTTACCAGGCTTCCCTATCATTATAATTTGTGAAAGTTTCCACAGTGCTGTGGTGAGGAACACAATACCTTTTTTGGGTATTCCGAAAGTACTTTTTTGTCAATTAGGTCAAAGCCAGGCGCTTTCTTGGCATCCATACGATTTATTATATTAATAATCTCTCTTGGGTTAGTTGCTGCAATGGGCAGATCCAATTGAAAAGTTTGGCCAAGGACATCTTCAATATCTGTTTCATCACTGTTAGGATCAGTTTCGTTTGGCGTGAATATTTGGGCCAAGTGATCTCCAAAAACATCGGCTTTTTGTTGTTGGCTTGTAGCCCATAAATTGCCCTCCAGTCTGAGTGGTGGCTTGGGGTTTATGGGCTGATTGAGATGTTTACAAGCGCGATAAAGGGAATAATTAGTAGCACTTGTGGCTGTCAATGATTCCAGGAAGGATTCCGTTGAAGTATCATTTGCCTTAATCATGATGTCTTTAAGGTCTTTAAACAAAACAGCGCTTAATAAGGCAATTATTAAGCGCTGTTTTGTCTTCTGGATGTCTACTATTGTGCCATACCCTACGTAGCCTTCTTTTTTCAATAATTTGGATTTTTATTTCGGATGGAACTGCATTGCGTCTCGGTGAAGAGTTAGAGATTTCAGAAGTATATTTCCAACAAGCTGACTGCACTGTAGTCATAAACTTAGTAGTAGCATTGTCAATGTCTTCCTCGGATTTTAGTGCCATTTGTAGTTGAAGCTCATCATTGACTATACTACAAAATGCTTCCCAGTCCGTTCTCTTATTGTAGAGTTGTAGTTGTTTCATATTAGTTATTATATTGGCGCCCATGGTAAAAAACACTGGGATATGATTAGAAGAATCATCTAATGTTGAACTGATTGTGAATAAGAGTCGCGACATGCCTTAAGAAACAAAGAAGTCTAGGACATCAGGCAGTCTATTTGAGTCTGTAGGCCAATGTGTAGGTTCTGGTGTTGCAATTGTTGTGAGATAGTTCTTATCCAAACTCTTCTTTAGCTATCTTCCCTGAGTGGTTATAAGTCTAGAGCCCCAATGAAGATGCTTGGCATTCCAGTCACCACCAACAACAAAACGAGAACCAAGGCTAACAAAGAACTCTGAAAATAGCTCCTCAGATATCCTGTGCTATGTAATAAAAAGTAAAAAGTAATATGTATATTAGTATTACATTTTCATAAATGTAATGTACGTAATACTTATTTACATATATATTACGTACATTACATTTTCATAGTAACACTTAACTCACTAATAACAAAAACATGCTTAGATTGTACGTTCCAATGGTATGTACAAGCTGTTGACAAAATGCATATCTTGTCTTCGCACTTGCAGACTTTTTAATTCTATGAGTGATAGCACTATAGAGAATATATTTCCATGCTCCTCCATCATCCATCAATTCATACATACACCATTTCATCCGATAACACCTTACCCCTCCGAAAAGGACTTATTAATTTGTAATGTTTTAGCTTAAATTGTACGTTACAAATTGTTGAAGAAATTCATACCTTTGTTCACTCTTGCAAACTTTTTAATTCTATGAGTGATACATAACACTAAAGGGGTATATTATCACACATTTAAGCAACTACGACAGAATTCCCCCTATAAGACAACCTATAAGGGAGGCCTATATTCATCTGTGGACTTTTGGTAGGCTGTAATGAATGAATAATTGAAAAACATAATATTTGTAACACGTCTCGTCATTTTTTACCTTTAATACTACACTTTACTATTTTATTACAAACTTCCTTAGTATTCGTCTTCTTTCCGTTTTATTTTCTACATTTTAACTAAGTACTCTTTCTAAAATAACTTAAACTAAGCTAAAAACCACCATATGACGTTTTTATATCCGGCTAAAGTCTCTGAGAGGCAATGTTATTAACTCCAAAATATATTTGTTATTGAGATAAGGGTTACAAACGAGCAAGCAGCACGCACCCGATATGTAAGATGATGCTATGGTCCTTCTCCATGGTTACATCTATCATCGATTAAGAATCAAAATGCAGGTACGTTAACACTTCTCGGGACAGAGGTGGAATACTTGTTACTAGTAAAAAGACCGGTTGCAAGAACGTGGCATACGTTGCAGCGTTTTTTTTTTTTAATGAGGATCACATATGGTAACGCCTTGGCTAATGTGGCAAATAGACACGACATCTGTTCTTGCTTAAGAATTAAAACGCAGATGCGTTGTGACCCCTAAGGGCTAAGATGGAATGCTTCGTTTCTAATAAAAACGGTGTCACTATACGAAACACAGCAGCGTAGCAGTAGAACTACCACCTAATTGTGTTATTTGTAAACATTCAACTCTGTTACAGGTATACCCCTGCAGGTAGTATCGGAATACTCGGCTTATTGGGAACAAGCGCGAACTCTCTATGGACCCTTCGAATGCACAGCCACAATGAAATCTGGCAACGCGGACGTTTATATGAATGAAATACCCGGGGGACAGTACACCAATCTTCAGTTCCAGGCCTTCTCTCTAGGATTAGGCAGCCAGTTTGAAGAAGTTAAAAAAGCATACAGGTATCAAACCAAAAAGATTACATTGTTTGGTACCTGTTGACATTTTAAATCCGTTATATTGAATACTGTTCTCGGGAGTTCATACTTATAATATCGATTAAAATACTTCTATGAGCTGTAAAAATGAAACCTTTCTATAAAATTTGTATAGGACTGCCAAGGGACTACTAGTAAATGACGTCTTAGTTTTTTGTAGTCAAAAACATCTTATTTTTATATTTTAAATATATTTCTTTCTATATTATATAATCGTTAATAGATACAACTGTGACCGCTTGAGGTCATATTTATTTCGTCGAGATAATGGTTAATGGATCCGATATGTGGCGCTGTAGTTTGATATTAACTAATTATATGTTTATTATGGACCATAATAACTCATTTAAAATATATGTCAATTTAGTGTAAAACAGAAAATGACAAAATCTGGACCTGATAACTAACGCTGTGGTTGAGTTATTATATATACTGTAAAAAATCCTGATTGAATTTCGATGATATTATACAGGGTATTTTTGGAACGCTCCCGAAAACCAAGACAGACGAAAGTACCAACTATACCTTTGATGATGGGTGGAATATAAAATCGATCCTGATGAAAGAAAAATCATCTTTTCACAACGTTTTATTAACTTTATTCATTCTCTATCATGTTAGTACAGCTAAATGAAACAATAATTTCATTAAAAAATCATGAAAATACTGAAACATAAAACCAGCAGTGGAATTACTGAATTAATATCAGCTGACTAGAGGTCAATGTACGCGCGAACGCGAATTCGCGCGGCCCGCAACTAGCGGGCCATACCACAATACCTAATAATTTACAACACTTGTCTAAATACCTAACTTATCTACTTAACCTACTATTTTGCCACTGTGCTTGTCTCTACGTAGCCACTTTAATCCGAATTCTCAGGTTAAATAACCCAAATAACTGGTTCGATTCCCCGCTAGTGAAAAAATACTCAAATGAAATGTAACCAAGGTTAGAGTCATGCGTTTTTATTCATCGTGTAGGTATGTTTCTTATTTTCATGTATTCAGTTATGTACCTATTCAGATTAGTTCAGTACTAAGTTATTTAAAAAAAAATTAGTTATGAAACAGCTTACCGCTCTAAATCCTCCATGGTGACGTGCTCAATGAAACCAGGCATACGTTGTTGCTGGTCTAATAACCAACGGTAGAAAACTCGCCGGCGGTCGTGATCGCCGGTAACTAACGCTTGCACTTTGTACACTTTGTATGGGCGCATTCGGTTACGCTTTAACACTTTGTGAACTGTACAGTATGACACACTTGTTCCATCCCGACGCCTTAACAATTTAGCGATACTTCGTGTACCTAGGTTCTAGTACCTAATATGTTGCCGTATTCACGAGCACTATAAACGTACGCGTTAGGCATTATATAAACAAAACAAGAAACTTAAACCGTAACAACAAAAATAATATCATTAAGTAATAAATAACAAGAATAATTTAATTAACAAAACAATTGTAGTGTCTCTCGTGATAGTCAACACGCAACTGTCTCAAAAACTAAAAAAAAACTAAAATTATTAATCAATTCCGCCAAAACAAACACATAAGGCAAAGTCCTTGAAGCACTGGGACTTTCCACATACCGTTAAAGCGTTATGTATGTTGAGACATCGCCAACGTTTATTTAATTTATCCCTACGACTAGTCTTCATATAGAATTTAAAAGTTATGGTTGTCATTTTTAATACAATTACACAACCAATTGTACCCTGACGCAACAAGCAGTTCCTTACTACAAAAATTATTGAAATTAATAAACGTACCTAATTGGGTACTCAGTACTCGCACAAATATAAACACTATTTCATCGTTATCTTTGATTTTGTATAAGTAAATAGAAATGAAATGGTACTGAATAATTTAATAGTTAAAATCAATTGCAATTATGATCGACAGTTGATTAATCTATCAGAATTGATGTAAAAAATAATACTTATACTTTATTTTAATTGACTTTCCGTATTTAAATACTTTGAATTTGAAAAGAAGTACGTAAATTATTAAAAATGACTTGCAAGTTTTAGTGATTGCCGCCTCTAATTCTTATGTCGCCGGCAAACTTGCCAATGCAATGCAGTGGAGGGAGTGTCTGCGCATGGGTACAGTCGCGTTCTAAAGTACTACGGCTAAGTAAGGCTATTGTTTTATAATATTGTAGTAATTAATTGTTTTATTGTAGAATCAAAATAGTTGTTTTACTAGCTATTTAGAACTTTGGAAGAGGTTGGAATTAAAAATGGATTAGTTTACTTGAGCATTATTTGTTATTTCTATCGTAAAATATAAAGTAGTTTGTAACAAGAAAACTTAAGCTAAGGGTGACACGCCGTCCATTATGTCGTCTTGGGTCACATGGAAGCCAGATGTCGATGGTGTGTTGGTGTTACTGGATGCTACTTCATCATCACTTTCATCTTTCGCTTAGCTTCCGTCATCAGGTCGATCACATAGTAATTTTTTCGGTATTCTTCCTCAACACTTTTAACTTTACTGCACAATTTTCCCCATTCACCTTCTCCTATAATATTTACCTTTTAATTCACTAGTTCAGTCATAAAATAATAGATATAAATAATTTTTCTTTCCTTCCTTTTTAAAACCATCGTCGCGAGTCGCAAAGCAAGCTGTGTATGCGACTGTATTTTGGGAGCGAACAAAGCTCGGGAACCAATAGCTGTGCCAATAGCATGCAGGCACAGTAATACTGGCGGATTGTTCCCCCGACGCGCCCCCTTCTTACCAATCAGTGATAAATCGCTCAGTGCCCAGGTTCAAGGCCAGCATTCTTTTTACGGGACCGAACCTATAACAGTTCGGCGTTCGCGCATACATTGACCTCTAGTCAACTGATATCAATTCAGTAATTCCACTGCTGGTTGTTTCAGTATTTTCATGATTTTTTTTTATGAAATTATCGTTTCATTTAGCTGTACTATCATGATAGAGAATGAATAAAGCTAATAAAATGTTGTGAAAAGATGATTTTTCTTTCATCAGGATCGATTTTATATTCCAACCATCATCAACGGTATAGTTGGTACTGTCGTCTGTCTTCGTTTTCGAGAGCGTTCCAAAAATACCCTGTATATGATGTATATAGATGTTATTAAGCCAATTATAAATCACGGCACGTAAGGATAAACATAGAACTATGACCTTGAATGCCCAGTAACATTATTCGCGTCTCAATCGAAGTGAGGTATGAGGTGCCGACGCTAGCCCCCACTCATGCTGGGGCCGCAGTAACAGGAAACGTCAATGCCCATAAACGCAACAATTATTGCTTTAATTTTAACGCTACAGTTGAATGGTCAACGTCATTTCAATTTCAATGCCATTGAACGACGTTAAAGTTAGCGTTAATGTTCCTTGAATTTCAAGCAAGATGGACGTTGACGCTGGTATTTATTTATATTTTTATTATGTGAATATATTTTATCATTGCCAAACAAAGAAAAAGAAGATGCTATAAATACACAAACGTGCTATTATAGCACATTAGGCTATCCACCTTCTTTTTAATTTCTTCGATAGTTGTTTTAAAAAGTAATAATTGCATAATTCGCCGCCAAACATCATTTTGCGATGTACGAGATTCTTAAAACTTTCGAATCTCGGATCCCACAATAATGGCTCTGTTTGCAGAATCTCAAGAAACGTAATAACTTTTTCATTATTCCACTCCATCATAGCCATACGTGCGACCCCGTTGCGCTCATCGTGCACAATGAGACAAACTTAGTGTGGCCGCTTCAACGCCTTATTTCGTGCGTTAATCTCTGATGTACCGCCACTGGAGTTATCGCCAAACCGCAAACGGTATTAATTGTCAAATTAACGCGTTAAGTCGTGGCCACACCTACATTCAACGTCCATCAACGCGATAATTAACGGCAGTTTTCGTTAGTGTGGCCTCAGCATCGGGCGCACTTGCCCTCGCTACCCGCGCACTCACCGTGCGGCCCTACAATCGCGCACGAAGTTATATAGCTGTCATGCCAATGAGTGAAAGTGATTAAACATGTAGATAACTAGATTTACTTTTGCTGTATTAAATTTTTATTAGTATTCCTTTAAATTTTCTATTTAATAACACCTAACAACCACAAATATATTATACAATAAGAAATACAATAATTTGAAATAAAATCGAGATTATTTTTATGAAATTTCATTTTCCGTTTAATTAAATTTCTTCACTCCATTTTCACACTTCATAAAAAATATATTTAAATACGACAAATTCACGGTTTTTCCTTTAACATTTTTGAATTTTGGCAACCGCGGAGCATGCGCCTAACACTTTTGTCCATAATTGTATCTGCGCGAATGACCGCCATTTTGGTTCAACTTACGTGCCGCGATCTATACACCGGAAAGGGCAGAGCATCGTCTGCCCTTTTCTGTTGGGTTTGTAGGTATAAAATCTTAATTTAGTTTAAGGCCAAAAATATTTTGTCTGTAATCAATCTATTTTTTTCAGGGAAGCCAATCTCTTACTCGGTGATATAATTAAGGTTACACCTTCATCGAAAGTAGTTGGCGATTTGGCTCAATTTATGGTGCAAAACAAATTAACTGCTAAAGAAATAGAAGAGAGAGCCGAGGAACTTTCTTTCCCCAAGTCTGTCGTTGAGTTCCTTCAAGGTGCTATTGGCATTCCTTATGGAGGTTTCCCTGAACCACTAAGGTAAATGAAAAATAAATGTCTATTTTTAATTTTTTACCAACTTCAAACCATAGAAAGAAGTATTAAATCGGACTGTATTTTTTATGTGTAAACTTTTTTTTTTGGTAAACCGATTTTGATGATTCTTTTTTTTATTTGAAAGCTGGTGCTTCTCATGGTCCCATATAAATCAATTGATCAAGATCTGACCAGTAGTTCTTGAATTATTCTTAATAATGCGTATTTAATTGACTTGCGTACCATAGATAATGTTCTCATTTTATTTATATTGAAGTCGGTTGTACAAGATGTTTAATTTTACGTGTAAGTGTCTTTAAACTACTTTTAACTGTTTCAAAAAATCTTTAAAGAAATTTGGAATATACCTCCTATTCCTGTTATTATTCTATACATTCATTTCTATAATTTCTTTTTAAATTTGGAAATAAAACCATGTATGTCCCTGTTTACTTTTAGATCCAAAGTACTGAAGGACATGCCCAGGATAGAAGGCCGACCTGGACAAGAGTTGCTACCTCTTGACTTCGACAAATTAAAGAAGGACTTAAAGGAATCCTTCCCAGATGTGAGTAATAGTTATTTAAACAAAGTCTCTCGGAAACTTGAAGGGTCATTACCGAACAGTGGGATGTATGTAGGCTGTTACTTTTTTGTATATATATATATTTTATTCTACTAAGCCAGCGCTTATCTACAATCCCACCTGATGGTAAGTGGTGATGTAGCTACCTTATTCCACTCTTTTGTTGTACGCATGATGAACGACGTAGCGAACCGTTTGGTTCGAATGCGTCGTAAGTCAACAACAAGAGGGTGGAGACTGGCCGAACGTTTAATTGTCCGATAGTGAAAGGGAGAGGGAGGAATTAAATTATGCAATTCCTGTGCATACTCTCCGATATGCATCCTGTATAAACCCGCAAGGCTGGCTACTTTGCGTCTGTGTTTGAGGCTGGTAAGATATGTTTTAACCAAATTCGGGTCACCAATAAGCCTCTTAGCACGCCTTTCCATTGAGTGCTCTGCTAGGTGACATATTGGAGCACCAGCCCATAAATGGCAGCAATACTCTAATATATAAAGTAAGCAGCTGTCCTAAAAAATGTAGTACTGATTTCTTTATTGAATTTTATTTTTCCAGGTATCAGATCAAGATGTGATGTCAGCTGCAATGTACCCGCAGGTTGCAAACGATTTCTTCCGCATTCGAGACAAATATGGACCGGTCAAACACTTGGACACAAAGACATTCCTCGTTGGGCCAACGGTTGGATTATATTTATAATTATATTAGCTTTATTTCTAAAATTATGCAAGCACTATTTAAACACATAACCTTTGAGCCTTGACCGTACTATGTAATTGTATTAATTTTAACTTATGCGTAAATTTTGGATGTTCGATTTTTGTAAATGCATTAAATTATTTGTTATTAAATTATTCATAATAATTTTATTTATCGCTATAATATATTAGTTTTATGTAGTATTGTTAGCAACATAGTTATTTTTTGTAATTTTTAGTTATTTTATTCATTTATTATTTATTATTATTTCTGTATTTCGCCTAATAACATCTAAAAAAATATGTTTCTTATTTCAAAAATCAAAATAAAAAAAAAATACAGGTTGGAGAAAGAATCGAAGTTACTATCGAGCGTGGAAAAACTCTAGACATAAAGATTCTGGCAGTGTCAGAAGAAATGACCGCGGCCGGCGAGAGAGAGGTGTTCTTTGAACTGAACGGTCAACTGCGATCGGTCTTTATCCGTGACGAGAATGCTAGCAAGGTAAAGAAAACAGATAATTTCTCAATTTTTCATTTTTAATGTTTCGTTTATCCTATTTTTCCTTTTTTCACCAAGTATTGGATCATGGGAAACAACGTAAAAAGGAATTAAAAAAATATAAAAAAACGATTCTTGTTATATTTACAAATTATTTCAGTCTAGAGGAGTTGCCATATTACGTATTTATAAAGTGTACTATAAAAGTAATTAAAACGTCCTTTCTTTAGGAAATGAAAATCCACCCAAAGGCTGTTAAAGGCAACAAGGATCAAGTTGGTGCTCCTATGCCCGGAACCGTTCTCAGTAAGTATTATTCACATAAAAAATCTTTTTTTGCACTTTTAAGATATATGATTCAAATACTTTCATTTGCGCTCTCTTGTTTTGACTAATTGTCGGCACAACAAGAGAGCTGTGGGTTCGAATTCCACACAGAACAAAAGACGTACCGCCTACAAATAATTGTTTCGAGTTTCGATGTTCAGTCATGTGGAATTTATATATGTAAAATGCTGGAGGTACAACACATGACAAAATACTACTATTACCTATCCTTAGTAAAAACTTCTATAGACACGTCAGGTACTTTTGAGATGGGGAAAAAGCACTGTACTCACGTGACCGTCACGCCCAGCTACATAAAATTAATTTCAAGTGAAAACTCCTTCAGGCACATTGATCACTTTTGAGATTGGGAAAAAGCACTAAACTCGCGTGACCGTCACGACCAGCTACATAAAATTAATTTCAAGTGAAAACTCCTTCAGGCACGTTGATCACTTTTGAGATTGGGAAAAAGCACTAAACTCGCGTGACCGTCACGCCCAGCTACATAAAATTAATTTCAAGTGAAAACTCCTTCAGGCACGTTGATCACTTTTGAGATTGGGAAAAAGCACTAAACTCGCGTGACCGTCACGCCCAGCTACATAAAATTAATTTCAAGTGAAAACTCCTTCAGGCACGTTGATCACTTTTGAGATTGGGAAAAAGCACTAAACTCGCGTGACCGTCACGCCCAGATACATAAAATTAATTTCAAGTGAAAATTTCCAAGCCTTATCAAGCGATCATGTGATGATATACCGTACCTGATGTCTTGCCCCTTTGACGTTGGCATATGTCGCAGGTCTAAGATCATTGGCATCTATCGATAGCTATGAGGTCTTTTTGGCATGTCCCATAGTCGCCAGATCAATACAATCTACTTTAAACACCTTCGGTCTTTTAAACGTGGTTTATTAATGATAGTCTTGGGTTTAAAAAAATACAAAAAATTTATCTCTGCGGCGCCACAGTCTTCGCGAAATTTAACATTTACTGTCGAACTCTATATTCTATATTTTATTTCGCATGTTGTAAACGAGACTTTTATATTGAAACAGACTAGTTACCACAGACTTCACACTGGAGGAGGTACTCAATTCGACTGTATGTTTTTTTATGTGTGTTACCTCATAACTTCTTTCTTGGTAAACCGATTTCGAATATTCTTTTTTCATTTGAAAGCTGGTGCTTCACATGTGGTCCCATATAAATTTGATCAAGGTCCGACCAATATTTTTTAAGTTATTCTTAATAATTTATATTGAAGTCGGTTTTACAAAATATTTAATTATATGTTTAAGACGGCTTTGGTTGGTTTTATAGTGCAATAAATCAACTGAATATATTTCTTACAGCGATTAAAGTAAAGGAAGGAGACAAAGTGGACAAAGGTCAACCAATCGCGGTCCTGTCGGCCATGAAAATGGAAATGATAGTACAAGCGCCCAGAGCGGGAACCATCAAGTCTGTATCCATCACAAACGGTCAGAAGTTGGAGGGTGACGACCTGATCTGCACCATTGAGTAAAAAATCAAATATTAGTTTATGCAAAGTTGTTACTTATTTAAATATTATGATCATATCTATTGTCTCAAAAACATATGCATAGCTTTTATACTTACTGGCACAAAACGTATTTATTTATCAACTGTGATATAAAAAAAAACTCTGAATCGTTTATTTAACTGAATTATTTTATTTATATAAAAGTCAGTAACTATTAAAATACATAAGTTTTATCGTATGGTATCCAAACATCTCACAACTAACTTTATCACAACTTGTGTCCAAAAAAATCGAAAATTGTGTTTATAACAAAAATCAATTATTATTTTAAAATAATACTGATATAATATATAAAGTTCGGTCCTAATATTATGTTGATTTATGGCCACCATACTTATAAAAAATTGTAATTTAATTCGGTAAACATGGTATTGAGAGCCAAAAATATCTGGCGATAAACTTATCTAATAAATACTTATTTACGCTTAGAAAATATAAAAAGACATAATATGTGGCGTCAATTATGCATTTCAGTTAATACTGTCAGGGTAAAAATCTTAATAATTTTTCAAATTACATCTAAAACCAATTTGGCGCGCATATACTAATACACATCTATCACAAATATTATAGGCAATGTTTTATTGCGGTATAAAGATTGAATATTATTGTTATAAAGTGAGTTAAACTCATAATAGTCCACAAAAACCGAAGTTTGTCAAATTTGTGAATTTTATAAATAAAACTGTGATAGTGTAACATCACTATGCAATAGTATCCAATTTATTTTTGTCTATAGACTATAGATTATGAGTAAGCCTGTTTCCAGCAGTGGGTCATTTAAGAGTTGTAACTTTACTTTTTCATGCGCATTATGTAATTGATGTAAACATTTTCAAAGACTTTGATAACACACAGATACAGTGTTAGAATAGAAAACAAGAGACTACATAACAAAATTATCGATATGAAAGATAATTAGTAAATATTTCGGACTGCAGTTTCGTCGTATATAGATAGAAGGCATAATGATGTCTGAAAAGTATAGACTTTTCAGACATCATTATGCCTTCTAAATTATACTTTGTCACAGTATGGTACAAATATAGATTGTAAAATAAAATGATGATTCAAATTTTGATTATTTTTATATAGTTACAATTTGTAACTTAGCACTTAGAAAATAGACTGCTTGGTCCTATAAAGACATTTTGACGCTTTTAATGTCCTTTCAAACAGACTAAAAGTCTAAAAAATCTGGTACTAAATTTAAAGTTAAGTAAGCTTAATTTGTTGATGTCTTGTTGCAGCAACCACACTAAGTTTTTTAGCTTCTAAATTAAATTTAAAATTTTATGTTTTTTTTTTATATTGTATATCGTTTGGAAATATCTTTAATGAAAATCTCTATAATAAGGAATCATTTTTAATTGAAATCAAATGTTAACAATGTTCTAGTGTGGATGTCCTCTTATTATTTTGTTGAATTTTTTTTATAAATAACCGGTGCTCATTGTTATTATAATTCATTGTTATTTTTATGTTTATAATATCGATAATAAATTATAAAATTAAGGTATATTTTTTTTATTTAAGTCTTTGTAATTTAAGCAAACAGATCAGATCAATGACATATTATATAAATGAGGTATCAGTGCAGTTTTTTCACGGTGTCAAGCAAAATCAATGCCTTCGATTTTTAATATTATATTTTTTTATTAATGTTTGTCAAATTTCGAACTTCTACACTGAACCTTATTATCACTGCCATATTAACCACTCAGGCGTCGACACTCAAAGAGTCACTATCGACCACAGAACACTAATACCCTTAGGCTATCGACACTAACAACCACCAACTTAATCAAACCTACGGTCAAGTTAAAGAGTTAGTAAAAGTTTTTTTAAATAGGTAGGTGAAGGTAAATTTTTTGAGAAGTTATCAATTACCGTGTAGTGGCGACTAGACTTAGAGAAAAGTGTTATTTTTAAATTACCGTGACTGTCGTTCCGGTTACCAAGAGGTCACAATGAAAAATCATCGTAACTTTGTCACGTTGTTAAAGTTGGATAACTACTTGGTATATTAAAACTACTTATAACGTGACTTTATATATGCATTTTAGATTTAGTATTAGGTTTTATTTCAGTAGTCGATTTTTTGTTACCTTCCTTACCTAAGCTACATGGCTATTGTTCTGAAATTAAATATAATAATTTCACCTAACCTAGGCGATCAGTCAATGTACCGTGACAAGGTAAAGGCGGCAAAATTACCGATACCATACACACCATCTGGATGCTAGGTGGTCCACCACTTTACGTTTCACTAGGAGATTTCTTCCGCGTACGAATTCTTTGTAGAATAGCTTACCACCGGCGATTTTACCGGATCGATATGACTTAGGGACCTTCAAGAAAAGAGTTTACTCCCTTTGAAACGGCAGGCAACGCACCTGCAATTCCCCTGGTGTTGCAGTTGGTCATGGGCGGCGGTAGTCACTTACGATCAGGTGAGCCGTATGCTAGTTTGCCACCTCTCCTATAAAAAAAAACCACAGAGGTCGGTATAAACATTTCGGAAGAAAACTGTTCCATAATTTCAAATTATATAACTGCACTTTTAAACGAATTTCGAAAAAGATTTCAAGATCTACGAAAAATAAAAAAAAAGTTTGTTACTTATAGAAAATCCATGGCATTTAGAAACAACAACTATATCAGAGTTGGCTTCAGTTTTGAATTGTAATTACTCAGATTTGTTTGATGAATTCATCGATTTTTAAAACGACACCTATCTAGTTTTGTTTAAAGAAAAAAGGGAAAACATGGAATATGTGGAATATGTGGAATTTCGGAGTATTGTTCCCCAAAAATATAAATGTGTCGAAAAATTTGCAGAAACACTACTAACATTTTTTGGGTCTACGTATGTGTGCGAATCGTCTTTCGTTTCCAAAAATGAAATACATAAAGAACGTGTACAGAAACATACAGATTCTATTCTGGATGATGTAATAAGGATAGCATGTAGCCACAAGTCAGATCTTGAAAAAGTGTTCACAGTATCAAAAATCGCATTAAAAGATATAGACATCTTTGTTAAAACTTCTTTTTTTCATTAATAAAGTAAACACATCCTTATCTTGGATATACGTTTTAATTAAGACCTAAATAATTTTTGCTTGCGGCCCTCGACACCATGACTGAAACTTGTTTGTGGCCCCTATTATGGAGTGTAGAGTAGAAGGAGAACCATCTTATAAGGAGCGAAGGTTGAAAAAGTGTCCTACTATTTACTGTAAATAGAGGTTCCAAAACCTACCACAATAGCGCTGGCGTCTGAAAAACTACGATATGAAGATAGCTGTTATGAACGAAGTGAAGTCAGCTGAATTCAAATATTTCATGACTAGAGTAGTTAGTAAAACGCCAATATACAAAATCTCAACTATTTACGTAGTACAAAACCAAGCGGATTGATTGGTCCTTATTTATTTCTCCATCTTACTCTAAATACTTTTGGCGCTTCTTTTTTAATTTATCCTATGCTACTGCAGCGCCACCCTTATTGGACACGTTTTTAGGGACACTTTTCATATACCGAGATGGTCCTCCTTCTACTCTACACTCCATAGCCCCTATAAAAAGAAAACTGAGTATGGTTGTTCTAAGGGGTCCCTTCTAATTATTACATACTCTTTGGCGGGGTCTATAACTTTGACAAGTAGGAGTTTTGGCGGGAACTTAAACGGTGGAGGATTGCTGCTCTTGTATTATTGTTTAAATTATGGTTTGAAGTGGATTTTGACATGTAAAAGTGGTGCAATTTTGTGTATTGTCTGCGTATGTGAACTATTAGTGGAAACGGTGAAACAAGTGCTCTGATGGTGATGTGATCCTCAAGATAAGGTGTCTGTCTGCTTAGGCGCCTTGAGATACCATCGCCAACTGTCAACTGTCTGCTGGCTCAAGTCGCCGTCAAAATATCCTAAGGGCTGCACAATGTGACGTATCAACATATTGTGAAGCGGTGTACTATGAAAGATAATTATACATTGTAACTTCAGGCTCAGAAGGGCTAGAACCCATAACCGTAAACCCAGTTTAAAAAAAATGACAAGTAGATCGCCATACGGATACAGCCGACGTTTGATAGGTTAAGCTCTATAAGTTACAATGAACAACAATGTTATCATTCATTCATTACTATTAAATACCACTGCTGAACAAAAGCCTCCCCCATATCTTGCCTCATATATTATATAAGGAAAGATATGTATATAGGATATTTGCCATAGTCGCCACGCTTTGCAAGCGGGTGAGCAACCGCAGCTTTTTAATATATTCAGCTATTATTAGGAAGATGCTGCTATCCAATCTCATTTTCTACTGTCACCTCTTACGGCACCCACGGGGTACGGAGTAGTAGGTTCTCTTACGCTGCCACTCCACGGCGCAAATTACCTATTATATTAAAGAATTACATATATTGCTCTCTCCGTTCACTCTGTTGTTTGACGATGGCGGAAAATTACCCAAAAAGCTGAATCCAAATTTCGCACAAAAAGGGAAACAACGTTACGTCAAGGCTATCTCAGTGCTCAAATCCAGCGTGGCAAAATCTGACAAGTAATGTAATATATGAGCTAAATGTACAGCCAATATAACAGATGCCTTCGGTTTCGGAGCGCAGAAAACATCGCGGCACGCGCCATAGACTACACAGAATAAAATTATATTTTTATTAAAGATTTATTATACTCTGTGCACTTAGTTGCGCACGCCGTGGAAATGTTTTTACGATTACATATTTGTGAGCGCGTCAGAGTGGCGTAAATTATTTTTTACTTTTATTTTATAAAACTGAAGTGACAAAATAACTTACAGTTAACCTCATGTAAGCGGCTACTGCAGCTCATGGACACCTGCAACCAACTTCAAATAAAGAAAGCTACAAATCACTCCTATGTCTCACAGCCTTGTAATTATACTGGTTCTCTACAGATAAATAATGCGCTGATGATCTTCAAAAGGTTGAAAAGATTTTCTATAATAATAGCTAAAACACTCGATCATAGTCATCTTTCTAACAAAAACATACCAAATTTAGATAGATTCATCCGTTTAGGAGCTACGATACCACAGACAGACACACAGATATTATACGTGGTAGAGGCATGCTGCAGCTATATTAGTAGTATGTGTATGGCTCGACCGAGGAAGGACCACGCTCTCACAGAATACCAGCGTAAAATAGCAGCTTAATGCTGCTGTGTTTCGTATGATGAGTGTAGAGAACCGGAGACCCATTTTACTGGAAAAGAGGCATTCCATCTTAGTCTTCACGGGTGACAACGCATCTACATTTTGGTTCGCAAACGAGGATACATGTAGATGTCTATGAGCCACAGCAACCACTTACCATCAGGTGTACTGTGTGCACGTTTGTCACCCTTATCCTATAAAAAAAAAACATATAACACCCCTCTATTGCGTCGGGGATTAAAAAGGAGTCCTATCACCTCATAAATAAATATTTATGGGATTTTCAAATAAAAGCAATACTTCAAAATATTAACGTTGTATTCAAGTATAATATTAAATCGCAATTATATATTTATAACATCGATCAATACACTTAAGGCTATAAATATCTCTTACATTTTCAAAATTAATCTTAATTATTAACAAATATAATATGCTTATACATATAAGAACAAATTATACATCTAGAATATTTAACTACGCGTGAAAGTGTTTTGCTTGCGAATAAACTGAAACGGATATTATCTATATTATATTGACTCGACATCACCGAATGTATTTATCAAAATACAGTATTTATCACGTGTTTACGCAGATTAGATTAATAAACCATACGCTTGTAAGGTTCATTTTCCTTTATACAACGCCATCTCCACATTAACACCCAAGAGCAGTACAAATTATTTCATCAAAATCGTTCATCAACTAATTTATGTCTTGACAACATTAATTCATTAATTCGTAAGTCATTCACACACTTTCATAAATATATGTTTTGTTTGGATTCATCCTCAAAACATGCCACCAAATCTAGCCCAAAATGACATGAAATTATTTTATGAGTTTTCGGACTGTTAGAATTATGACATAAACTATTCAGAACACAACAATATCAATAACGCTTTTTTCACTCAATGTAACACTTCTTTAGGAAAAGTTTGACAAACAAAGTGGTAATTGGATAAGATGATTATAGTAATTAGTAATTTTACGTAAATCGATAAAAATTTATAAAATCACAATTCAAAAATTCAAGTCATATTTTAACAAATCTCATGATACAAATTATTGGTAAAAAAACATCAATATTTAAATCGAATAAAGCTAAAGAGAACACAACCTTAATTAATTGACTATTTTCATTTATAGTCCGATACAAATTGCTAATGCTTCTATATTGAAAAAATAGTATAAAATCTCATGAAACAAACTGGATATATCGCTCATTTGGAGAAACATCGACGTAAATGTAATTTTTTCCAAAAATTAGATAAATATGACAAATCACTTAGAAAGTGTATTTATGTTAGGAGAAACAAAGACGTAAATCAAATTCAGTCTATTTATCGGTAGGTAGCGCTAGCGTCGTTGTTGCATTTATGCTAATTCGCAAAGATCTCGCGGAAACAGCGACGCTAGTGTTGCCAATTTAGCATATTATATGCTAAATTTGACATATTTTCTTCTTGTTTAGCATATTTTTTTTGCTTTTAGCATATAGCATATTATTTCAGCATATTCTTATAAAACATGAAAAGAATGTAAATTACAATCTTTCTTGAAATAAAATTTGATATCGATACCTACCTCAATCAATTTCCCACTTCACTACTAGTGATTCACTAGCATGGCAACCCTTTTTTGAAGCGAATATAATATTCTCTGTGCTACGGGATTCCCCTTAGACATAGAGAATGGACTGAGCCCTTATTCAGGTATAAAGTAAATATGGACGAAGTACAAGAGAGACAAAGCGAATGTGCCGCCAGTTATTGTCTCTTTCTACGCCTTACCTGCGCCTTGCAGAAAATACACATGTATTGGCCGCGTATTCACTTTGTCTCTTTCTAGAGAGTGGTCAGTTTTGTGAGGGTGATGTCTATGGGATAGAATTCCCTTACTATTATCCATTCCCCAGCGCCTACGTCGCTTTCTGTCAAAAACATTGTTTATTGTTGTGGATGTGGACTCACTCATATCGTCGTCTCGTCTTATCCGTGTTTTCGTGTTCCTTTTTTATAATTTGATATTTTTATTATGGTGCCTAAGTATAGTCAACATTACCGGGCAGACTGGGAGAAAATGGCAGACTTTAAAGAGTGGTTGCAGCCCGTTGAAAACGATACTTCGAAAGCGTACTGTAAGTATTGTAAATGCGAAATGATTGCAAAATTGTCTGTTTTGAGGCTACATATTTCATCAGCAAAGCACAGAAAAGCAATAGAGCCAATGAAGAGTCAAAAAAAAATTAACTTCCCTAAAGTAAAAAAAGATCTGAATACCCAGAAAGCAGAATCTTCGCTGGCTTTGTTTGTTTGCGAGCACTGTGCAATTATGGCTGTAGATCATTTATCGGAACTATGCAAATACCGATTTGTCGACAGCAAATACAGCGACATCAAGTTACATCGAACCAAATGCACGAATATTATTAAAAATGTTTTGGCACCACACTTCATTCAAGAAATTGTGACAGATTTAGGAGATCAGGAGTACAGTCTCTTAATCGATGAATCGACAGATATATTGGTACTTAAAATGCTTGGTGTTTCGATAAGATATTTCAGCCGATCATTAAAAAAGATAATTTCCACATTCTTGGGATTAGTTGAGATTGAAGACGGAACTGCAGTCAGCATAGTGAACGGCATTAAAGGATTGTTGGCAGAAATAAAAATAAATTTAAAGAAATTGATCGGTATCGGCACGGATAACGCTTCGGTCATGACAGGAACTAACAGTGGAGTGCACGCATTGTTGAAAAATGCAACTGGTAATGACAATTTAGTGTTAGTCCGCTGCGTGTGTCATTCGTTACAGTTGGCTATGTCTCATGCTTCAGCAGAAACCCTACCAAGAAATTTTGAATTTCTTATAAGAGAAACCTATAACTGGTTTAGCCATTCATCAAACCGAAGACTCTTTTACAAAAACATGTTTCAAACGATCAACGGTGGCTCCGTTCCATTGACAATTCCACAGATGTGCAATACCCGATGGATATCAATTGAACCAGCGGTCTGCCGTATTCTTGATCAATGGATAGAATTAAAAACCCTGTTTGAAATTGCCAGGCGAGATGAACACTGCTATACGGCAGAAATACTATATAACATGTATAATGATCCACAGAATCATTTGTACTTATTATACATAAGACCTATCTTACAGGAAGTTCAAGTGGTAAACAAGTTGTTTGAAAGTAACGATGTTGACCCAACAAGATTGTACAATGATTTGATTGGCTTAGTGGAATCGATAGGTCGGCGTATTCTGAACCCAACGGCAAGGTTAGATATTTTAACAGAAGACATAGAAAGCTATTTAGATCCGAAACCATACATGGGATATGCTTTTGAGACCAAATTACTTGAATACAATCTTCAGCCTAATGCAGCAAACTATTTACGCCAACGTTGTAATAATTTCACACTGAAACTTGTGACAGAACTACGTTCGAGATTACCGGTTAATTTTAAAATACTTCAGAAGATATCCATGTTTTCAGTTCAAGAGACTTTAAAAGTAGTTAAGCCATCCATTGTCGAAATAGCCCAAGAGTTCCGAGTTAATGCACCTATGATTGAAAAACTGGTATCTCAATGGAGAAATATAGTTCACATTAAATGGGAATCCTTGACTTCCACAGTAAAGTTCTGGAATGAAGTCATGCAATATAAAGATGCAGCTGATAATAACCCCTTTGCAGAGTTATGTGAGTTTGCAATGTCTCTTATATCATTGCCACATTCAAATGCGGACGTTGAACGTGTATTCAGCCAAATGAGTCTGGTAAAAACAAAACTCCGAAACCGTTTGGCGGTGAGAACCCTGAATGCCATTTTGTACGTTAGGTTCGGCCTAAAAAGAGCAGGAAAGTGCTGTTACTCTTACACTGTTCCAGACAATGTACTACGCAGTATCGGAACCAAAGAGTATTACGACTCCGGCTGTCAGCCTTCCACATCAGCTGATGTTGATGAAGATGAAGACCTTAATATTCTATTCCCTTGATTTAATTTCTCAATAAATACTGATACTTCTTAATTATGTTGGCATTTTTTTTGGCATTTTTTAGAGAAGGTAAGCATATTTTTGGCATATTTTTTACACCAGTCTAGCATATTTTGAAGTAGTTGAGTTGGCAACACTGAGCGACGCATCGGTCAGTTGCGCGGGGAGCTCCGCAAAGTGTATTTGTGTTTGGGTGCTACATCGACGTAACGGTAATTATGACATTATTTTTCGTTCTTTTTGGGGCTACAACGACGGAATGAACATTTTCGACATTGTTGTCCCAAAATATATTTGTTTTTGCAGAAGCAATGACATAATTTTTGTAATTTCCTATTAGTAATGTCGTTGTTGGTAGAAAAATATTATTATTTGGTTCAAATACGCTTAAACATTTCTTTGTGAAATTATTTAAATATATACATTTTAAAAAGAGCAAGCCAGCTTATTTTCACGATACCTGGGAAGTATTTTTGTTGTGTTGTATTACATGAAATGTTCGTATAATTCTTTTTTGTCTGCGTGAAGTCGCAGTAAACTTCCTAAATTCCACGTGGGATTATTTTAGTCTTTGAAGTTAGATTTACTTTTTAAAAATTTCTTTTATGTTGTATCATGTACAGTTAATGCATTTCACGAGCGCGCGTCAATAGTTGTAATTTAAGCCTTATGTGAATGTAAATAAAAGTCACATGACGCGCGCTGGTGATATATATTTTTGTTTTGATTTCTTATTCATTTATTTTTAGGTTATTTACAATAATGCAAGGACGTGGTAGAAAGTTGGTCAATTTAGTAATGGATAGACACGAACCATCATCTATTGACACAATGACGTATTTAAATAATGTCAATATTGTTGGTGTTGCTGATCAGAGTGGGAATGGTACGTGTAAAATAGGCAGACAACTAGACTGTTTTTTATTTTGGTTTTGTTTTGCTATAATTTATTAATTTTCTTTTAGCCAATAGAAATGAACAAGTTGAGAGTATTTATCCTGACTTGCCAAGTTTGCAAAACTCTCCGTATCACAATGAAGATATTTCAAGCATTTTTAATAACGTCGCAGAGTATGACACAAGTAAACACGAATCAGAAACCTTCGAATTCCAACCTCTTCGTGATCTTAAGAAATCTACATCAACTTTATCCTCATCTAGCTCTGATTCTGAAGACTCGACTGCCAGTAAGTTGATTTTGACACAAGGGAACGTTTCCACATTAGAACAAGATAACTATGTCGTTCCTCTTGTGTCTGAATTCCAGCTCCATTTACCAGCCAATAATAACTCGCAACCAGAAATATCTGAATTAGTTTTACCAAAATCCATCGAAAATAGTGCAAATGTAGATGGCAAATATTTAAAATCAGACTGTGAAGATTTTTCACCAGATGACAGTGGTGATGAATATCAGCCAGCAAAACGCACTCGCAAAATGTCTTCATCTAGTTCAAGCAGTTCCTCTTCATCGTCATCAAGCTCATCATCAAGCAGGTCCACTTCTTTTCACTCTACTACACGCAGGTCCAACTTAATGCAATCTGGCGAGACTCTCGAGGTTATATCACAGCAAAATAATCATTCCAGTAACAATGTGATGCCAAATGATGGATCACCCCAAAATACAGATAATATTGTTCAATCTCCTAATAAAAATAAAAAGAAAAGGGTGAGGAATGAGGCTCAGTGGAAGAAAAATAAAACAAAACAATTAAAAAATTTGGGTAAACAATATACATCTCGCACTGGTAAAACTGTTCCTGCCAAAGCAATGAAGCCGCTTTGTTCAGACAAGTGTCGATATTTGTGCTCGAACAAATTTTCAGAGGAGCAGAGGCGTGAAATATTTAATATGTATTGGGCTTTATCATCATTTCAGAGACAACGTGATTTTCTTAATTCTGTAGTTATGGTATTCCTACCAGCCGTGCGTCGTATCAGAACAACGACAAAGAATAGAAAACCTAACACATACTATTCCCTAGTCAACAATGGGCAAAATGTGAGAGTTTGCAAAACTTTCTTACTAAACACATTGGGAATTGCGGATAGAACTTTACGCACTGTGATCGAGGCTAAAACAAGTGAAGGCTTTCTAGGCAGTGCACCAATGGACAGTCGTGGCAAGCATGATCATCATATTAAAACTGATCCAGAAGTCTTGGACTCCGTTAGAGTTCATATAAACTCCATAGCTAGGATTGACAGTCATTATCTCCGTGCAAACACGAGTCGAGAATACATTGACGGTGGTCTCACACTAGCTGATTTACATCGTGACTACAAAAACATGAGGGAATCCGATAAGAAAACTGCTGCAAACTATGATTTATACTACCGAATATTTACTAAACAGTTTAACATTTCTTTTTTCATCCCCAAGAAAGATCAGTGCGATCTATGTGAATCTCGTAAAAATGCAGTTGACGGTGATGAAGTGTTAGAAAATCAATATTTGGAACACCTGCGCCAAAAAGAACTCAGTCGAGCTGAAAAAAAGAATGACATTGAGACTTGTAAAATGGCTGAAAGCAATAGCATTGTAGCTATATTTGATTTACAAGCTGTGATGCCTGTACCGATTGGAGAATCATCAGCTTTCTTTTATAAGTCTAAATTAAATTGTCTGAATTTAACTGTAAGTTACTCTTGACTTTTTTATTTCATAAACTACAATTTTATTTCTTAATACAATAAATTTCTATTAATTTTTTAGATCACTGATATAAAAAACAAGGAGACGATTTGTTACTTCTGGCATGAGGCTTTAGGAGGTCGGGGTGCAGTTGAGATCGGTTCCTGTGTCTACAAATTCCTGCAAAAAGTATCTGATAAATATCCTAATTCTGACGTTACGTTTTATACCGATAACTGCTGTGGACAGCAGAAGAACAGGTGAGTTGGATAAATGAATTGACTATTTTCAATAATTCTACATTCTTAATCTACCTAAATTATGAATATTAATGTAAGTATTACATTTTATTTTAACGTTTCCAGATTCATTTTCTCAATGTATCTGTATGCCGTCAAAAAATTACGAATCAAAACCATCACTCATAAATTTTTGATCCGCGGGCATACCCAAAATGAAGGAGACACAGCGCACTCGTTAATAGAAAAAGCTATTAAAAAATCTAAAAAGTCTGGGCCCATATACGTGCCAGAGCAGTACGTTCAAATCATAAGGTCTGCAAAAAAAAATGGCAATCCATTTATTGTAGAAGAGTTAAACTATGACGATTTCTATGATCTCAAAAACTTAGCGGAAGAAATTGCACTAAACACCGCAAAAGACGTACATGGAAACACCATTAAAACGAATGATATAAAAATGATTAAATTTCAAAAGGAAAATGGAACATATAAATTTAAAACTGGATACGAGGAAGACTGGACAGAAGCCGTTACAAAAATCTCCAGACGAAATAAGGGAGACACAAAAGATATAATAGATTTAACACTAAAGCCAGCGTATCGTGGAAAAATACCTATTGCTCAAAATAAGAAAAGTGACTTACAAGAACTAATGCAAAAAAATATCATACCAAGGTTTTATTGCAGTTTTTACGACAATGTTTTAAACATTTAAATGGTATCTACTTGGTCAAATTAAGCTAGGTACGTTAAATTTAATATTTTGTAAAAGTAGGCCTAACGAAGCTGTGATTGTCGTGCCTTTTGATTCTTTAAGTGAAAATTATCTATTATATAAGTTTAAGTTCCTCAAATATTACAAATTTTATTCGAAATAAATGGATAATAGTTTGATTACTTTCAAAATATGGTTTCATTTTGTCATAAAATCATAAAAAAATGTATACGCAGCACTCTGCGCATTATACTGAATCTTTGGGAAACAAAGACGGAATTGTAGGTATCCGACATATTTTTATTTATTTATTAGAATACCAACATAAATATTCAGCTTTATTGAAAACTACATAAAATTACATTAGTATAGCCACATTTTAAATATAAAAAAATAGGCAAGAGTCATCATCAGGAGACGGTAACACATTACAAAATAAATAAAAACACTTTAAATCACTCTCCTGTAAAATTGGAAAAATAGCAATTACGTCGATGTTTCTCCAAATGAGCGATATGATAACTTTGAATACTTAAAAATCTGCTGCAAATCAATTAAGTGCGGTGTAAAATAAGCCAACTCATTTTCTAAATGCTAAATTAACTAGCATGAGGCGTTCAGGAACTGGTGACCGGCTGATGAAGTCAAATATTTCCAAGTAATTTAAACTTCATAAATTTACGCGAATACTACTACATTGAATGAATCTAACTTATCAAATGGTAGCGCGTTTAATTTTGCTTATCTTAACTTAATTTCCGACGTTTCGAGTGCTTTCTTAAGAAGGGTTACCTTAAATCGGACACAAAAAGTAACGTTGAACCTACTTATATTTCACACAGTGGTAATTGGCAACATTATCAGTGCGAGGGTATTCGCTCTGAGCGGATTGGTCAACCTGTCCGCGCGGTAAATACGGGCGTATATATATATATATATATATATATATATATATATATATATATATATATATATATATATATATATATATATATATATATATATACACATACAACAAACAGGCACACAAGGCAACAAACAGTCGTGTACAAGAGCAAATAAAATACAAACAACTCGTCTGTTAGAAAATAACCTACAGTGCCAAATTTAAAAGAAAGTTACATGGTGTCACTACATAGTGACTATTTATATAACAAAAAGACTAAGTACAGTAAAAATATCAATTAAAAAAAATGCAACTCACTTGCAAACCTTTAGTAAATTATTTATTATATATGTCAGTAGAAGGGTATAAGAATGAATTATGAGTATATCTTTTATGTAACCGCGGAGGAACAAAAAGTGGCACTTTACGTGAGGATCGCATTCGCACTGGAAGGCGTACACAAGCAATAAATGATACCTTTGAGAGAAGTAGAGAATAGTACATTAAATGATTCAAAACTTTATATAGAAAGATTATATCAAACAATTTTGAAAAATTTTGACAGCAGTTACATTCTATCTGAACTGAAAAAGGCTGTTGCAGGAGCAAATCAACCGAGCTATTTTATGGTATTTTAAAGAAAACAACAAGAATTTATCTTCGAATTCGAATGGAACTCTTCCCATCAATTTATATTGTTTTAAATCGACATAAACTATATTAAAAATTTAACGGAATACGAATTACTAAACTGGCACTAATGGCAAGGAGAATTCTGAAGTAATTATTTCGACTAAATTATTCTTGTTTAAATACTTAAGTTAACAACTAATAAATATTAATATTTACGTCCATGTGACAGTCTCGATTTTCGTTACATCACGAAACATTATATACAAAGCCACCTCCTTCTTGACACTGACAACTATTGTGCATATTCTTGTTATCTAATAAATTCTAATCTATAAATTATAGACCCTGCCTACAATAGTCTAAAGGTTACAACTAACATTCCCATTAAGTTTGAAGCTAGGCATCCGTCAGTGATGGGGCGAGTTGCAATGTAGCGGAGAGCTATTTTACGTATTATGTCCAGTATACAAGGCAGGCCGGGCTGTATAGGCGGATTCTTACCGACAGTCGTGGCTTCATCAATTGATCAGTTTGATTCCATAATGTATGTCAGAAAAGAAGCAATCGGTAAGTTTCATAACTTTTTTATAATAAAAATGATACGACAATATTCTTTGGAGTGTTTTCGCATGTCTTACGACAATATTGAGGATTTACATGAAGATCTACATACAAACGTATTTATCATTGTATCCCTGATATTGCATAAAAACACGTGTGCGTTAATAGTGTACCGCGACCACCAAGACGGGGCGGAACGGTACGGACCGCAGCGATGGAAAAAATATGCTCGCCGAGCGGTCCCCCGGCGCAGAATACACGCAGTGTCCATACAAAATGTATGGCAGGTGAATTTTTGCGTTGCGATACGCCCCGACCCGGCCCGCCTAATGGACGCCTAGCATAAATGAAAGAAATAAATTATAAGAAGAAGCAGGCAACTGCCTGTACTGCCTGTACTGTAACACAAAGAATTCCTTGTGTTACTTTTCGTACACAACTCAGTTTGGCTTACGACTAGGACGTCAGTGAGCACGTTAAAAAAAAACTCAATATGCGTACAAACGGTACAAAAATTACACACAAATTCACTACTTAATCAATGTCACCAGGGTCGAGTAGGGAGTTATCGACAAGCGTTCGCGAGAAAGTCTCAGCTAATTTGTTCGTGGTATCCACCTTCTGGTCCTCTTGAGCCTCAACTTGTACTTCTAAATCGTTGATAGAATTAACGGAGTTCTGGTCGCTAAGGCTCAAACTGGAATCCGGATCGTCTCCGTAACATCTGCGCTTGTGATCCGATGGAAAATTATGGTACGAATGCTCGACTCGTATCGCTTGCATTGTGTTGCTAAAATACCAAGAACATTATATTAAACATATGATAAGCTGAATCGTGGAAAGGCTGTGTCTTCGCCTTAACATTTCTCGTGTGCGAGGTAAATACTCGATAGTGAAACCACTGAAATTTTAAATAATAATCCGTTACGTGATCAGCGTTAAAGGAAAAAATCCGAAAAAAAAAAACTAAGTTTCTTTATTTCTTTATAGAATAAGGGTGACAAACGAGCACACAGTCCATCTGATGGTGATACTGTGGCCCATAGACATCTACATTTACCCTGAATTAAGAATCAAAATGCATATGTGTTGTCACCCCTGAGGACTGAGATTGAATGCCTCGTATCCAGTAAAAATGGTCTCCGGTTCTCTACACTTACCATACGAAACACAGCAGCATTAAGTATAATAGTGTAAGTGTAATAGTGATCGCTTTGTGGAGGCTATTTTACGCTGGTATTCTGTGAGAGCGTGGTCCTTCCCCGTTCCAGTCGATCCATTCGTGCTAAAACCGTAATAAAACTGCAGTATAGCTCTATCTCTACTACGTAAAAAACGCATGTACATATGTGTTCGTATAAAAAGTTGAAAATATTTGATGGATGTCAGGTAATAGGCACAGTAACAATTACACCAGCGGAGACGTGTGCAGTAAGAAACTGTCGGTTCGCAAATTTAATAGATTTCCTGGGGTGGAATATTTGCTTTTATAGTGTTATCAGATGTCGTAAAAGGCGACAGAGAGAAACTGAAAAAGGAGATGGGCAACAGTATCTTCTTGATAACAAATTAAAATTAAAAAAAAAACTGTGACAGCAAACATGCGTTTAATAAATAAGGAAATGAATGGGGATGGCCTATCTTCAACAGTGGAATTTGATAGTCTGTAATGATATTCTGATAGATATTCACGAGGTGGCAAATTTTTTCCACACTAACTGTTCCCCGCGACTTCGCCCGCGTGTAATTGAGGGTTTAGTTTTTTGCGAGGAACCCTTATTATTTTTCTAAAATAAAAGTAGCCTAAGTTACTCCTTATGACATCAGCTATCTGCCAGTGAAAGTTCCGTCAAATCCCGAAAAATTGGTCCAGCCGTTTCGGAGATTAGCCGGAACAAACAGACAGACAGACAAAAAATTTAAAAAGTGTATTTTTGTCACAAGTACCGTGTATACTTTTATATGCATTTAGTAAAACGCTGTAATTTTGACATTACAAACACATACTTCAATTTTATTTATTTGTATAGATTTATAATATCCATCTCCTAACAAATGAAGTCATTAATATGTCAATAAGGGGATAATCAACGGTCTAAAACCTCATCTTCGGCAGAGTATTGGCGAAAAAACGACCATAGTTGTTACGGCCCTCAGCTGCCCCAACAAAGGTCAATAGTTATTAAAAATTACCATCAAACCAGATTACCATTTTCATATATTGATTCTTAATCTAGAATAGATGTAGAAGTCTATAGCAGCATCCACTTATCATCGAGTGGACTATGTGTCATTTGTCACCCTTATACTATTAAAAGAAAAACCAAATAACCAAAGACTTACCTAGTCTTCCTCAATATGGGTCGACCCATCTCAACTTGCAACTCCAAGGAGTACAACTTGGCCAGCGACTCCAGTTTCTCCTTTTCCTCGGTATCATGGAAACTTGACAGCTTCAGCTCTGTTTGGCAGGAGTCCTGAAGGAATTTAGACAGTTGTTCATTTGCAGCGCTCAAAATAAGGAAACCTGGACGTTCCTCTCTTATTCGACGGCACCCAGCCCTTATTTCTCTAACTTCGTTCACCGGTACATTGCCCATAGAATGTTCGCTGTAATAGTGATCGCTTTGTGGCGACTTCTCGCTAACATTCAAGTCGCTCGACGAAGTTTTCTGTAGAGTGAAATTCGTGCGAGGCGTTCGGTTGAAAGCTTCCTCGTTCTGCTTCGATTTCTCTTTAAACATCTGGAACGAATGAAAAAACGTCTCATCGGCGTTCTTACCAGAGACACCAGCGTTCTTGATATCGCTGAAACTCGAGAAAGACGAATTCGGCTGCAGAATATCCCTATTCTCTTTCAATATTAATTCATCGTCCAAATCGACAATAGTTTTCGAATCAGACATCATTGTATCTTCATCATTGCCAGAGTCGACTTTGGCTCTCTTCTTTTTGAATCTATTTTTAGAATTGCTACAGCCTTTAACATTTATGTTGTCTGTCTTCAACCTCTTTGGTGGAGGCATGTTACTGACAGATTTTGTGAAGTTATTGTTTACTTTAGACGATTTGAACGTCAGGCTTTTGTTAAACACTTTCAGCTCTTCGATTCCGGGCCAGTCTGTTAATTCGTCATCACCTTCCCTGTCACTGTCATTTGTAATCACACCATCGGATTCACTGCTACTAAGTGAACTACTCTCATTACCAGCGCAATCCATCCCACTGTTGGAGTCATCAAATAGCAAAGGGTTTCTCAGCGAATTAGACGGGTGAGTCTTATTCAGCATTTTGATCTTCCTGTAATACTTTCCATCTAAACCACCTTTGCCTGTTGGACTAAAGAAGGGCGGTAGATCTGTTGCTATCCGATAACCGGTCATTTTGGACAATATCGGTGTGCCATTCTTCGATGCATTTTTGTAGACAAAGTTAAAACTTGAACTGCCTGGCAAGGAAAGTGCATTTGTGAAGGAAGAACTATTTGTGTCCTCGGCATTCTGTGATTTAAGAACAATTTTACCTGGCTGCACGAGCGATTCTCTTCTCTTCTTGTCTATGTCATGCTTTTTGGATTTGATGTCGTTTTTGAAGAAAGCTGATTTGGATGAGCAGCCCCCACTGAATGACCTCTCTCTCATCTCACAAGCATCACCTTTATCCCTGTGTGACCATTTTCTTTTGCCACAGAATGCATTCCTAAATATATAAAATTCAGTATTAGTGTTCTTTTTCATATAACATACAAATTAAGATTTTAAATGAAAACTGTACATTGTATAAGGAAACCCCTGTTTCCCCTTAACAGTCTTTTTTCATCTTATTTTAAAAATGTTTTAATTTACTTTATATTAGTTATCATAAATAATCATTTTAATATTATTTTTCTAACTATTCAATGTGCAATAACAAGACATAAAATTAAGGAATTACATCTGTTATTACTGAGTATATTTAATTGATTAAAAAAAAATATTATTACGTACTCACATTTTTCTACTGTCGATATTAAACTCCAGCACAGTAGACTCATAAAAATGCATTCAGACAGGACAGTCATTTTATGTTAAAGAAAGTGTATTTAAAGTATAATGTTCTCATTTTAAAATAAATATGTAACAATATACTTGGCTAGTGAGCACAGTGAAGATAATATCAATATTAAAAGCATTTCAATTTAATTATTTTATTTTTACGTGTTTATAATGTAATCAGGAAAAAAAAATATAACCAATAAATTAAGTAAGTAATTTACCTTTCTTGTTTATGCTTGCTAACATGTAATAAGGAAGATAAACCTGGGGTTTGTAAAATTATTGCAGTGGGTGAAACATTGGGCTGAAAGAAAATTTAATGGTGTGATTAATTTTATAAAGTTGTTTATATAATAAAATTTTTGTTTTGTTTTGATTTTTAAAAAGTAAGTGTCTAACCTTGAACAAGTTTTCACTGTTGTGAAAGAATTGTTAAAATTGGTTCTATAGTTTTTAAATATTCTCATATTATTATATTCAATTATATAATATGTATACATATTTTTATAATAATTATTTTATTTTATTAATACTACAGTGTACACATATGTGTAACAGAGGAGTAAGAGAAACCATACCCCATATCACCTGTTGTTGTATGAGGCAACAGAGGAAAATGAAACAAGTAATGGGCAGCAGCTTCTTTCATCATAATAATAAAACTGCGGTAGCCAACCTGCCTGCCAAGCTTGGTAACTATGACAAATAATATGAACTTTTGATAGACTGCAATTAATTAATTAATAAGTGTAATTTAAAAATAAATGCAGGATCGCACGCAGGACGTTTACAGTGCACCTGTTCATCATCTGTTCATCATTCTACAAGCTCTGAGTTGCAATGTGGTGAACTCGGGACTAATATATGAATGACATCAACGATTAAATGAGGTATGTAAACACAAAAATGTGACTCTGCAATGGATAAAGGGACGCAGCGGATCCAGCAGACGAACTGACCTGAAGAGGGTCGGCTTTGGCCACTATAGGACCGGAACCAATCATACCAATCCCCTTTGGTAATGTTCGTCCACTGGTACGTACACACTTCATTAATCAACACGCTCAGCTTTGGAAAAATCTAATAGACTGTAGACAAGCTAGGGCAGCCCTGCCTGAAATAAAGTCGTTTAACCAAGGTTCTAATGAGACTGAACAAGCCGCAGATCAGAATAGTAACAAGTGCTATCACAGGACACGGCAACTTTAACAAACATTTATTTACCATAGGTGTTACAGCTAGTCCCCTGTGCAGGGCATGTATGGGGGAGGGAAAAACGGCGGCCCATGTGTTGCTGACATGGCCAGAGGTCGCTACATACAGGGCTAAACATCTCGGCACGCCGGGATCACGCCCCGAAGTTGCACGCAACATCAAAGGACTGTTGAACTTCTTCGTGGAGATCTCATGGCTCGAATAATTACAATATTCCTGCCCACACGCAAAATACGCGCTAAGACGTGGAGTTGCGGAAAATAGCCCGTAAACTAAAACTAACTAAACTAACCTGTTCATCATCAAACAACAATCAAAATACTAATCCGTTGTCACCTCGAGGAGTAGCATGACATGCATTATTATCATTAAAAGATCTCCAGTTATCTTCACTCATCATAAAAAGCATAACAGCAATATGCTGCTATGTTGTGCTGCTGTTATTTATTAACGTGGTTGAGCCATGCAGCACCTATATTATGGTTGTAGCTCGAATGGGACCGGGGAAGTACACACTCCCACAGAATACCAGAGTAAAATAGCAGCTGAATGCTGCTGTGTTTCGTGTGGTGAGTTAGAGAACCGGAGACCCTTTTTACTGGAAACACAGGGGTGGCAATTGATTTTTAATTGGGGATAGGTGTACATGGCATCGTTTGTCACCCTTATCCTATATATATATATATATATATATATATAATAAAACTGTGTTCTATTAACGTGCGGTTCACACACATACATACATAATTTCGTTTCATTATTTTCTGGAACCATTAATGTGTTATCAAATAATAGGCCTTAATTAACTAAGAAAATAAATGTTTCTTACCTCAGTTGTCACACTTAATATTTCAATTGGTGGAGATCTCTTTCCGTCCGCATATTCCCCAGGCACCTTCTTATATTTCCTTTTCCTTCTAGCATTTGCTGGCCGAGTGGGGGAGAAATTTTCATTGAATGAGTCAGACTCAAAATTGCCTATTTGGCAATATTGTCTCGACTTGAGATTAGCGGACTTGTGTATATTAAGATGGGGATCATCAGAGTCTGATAGCGGTTGAGTAATAAGGGGTGCTTGAGGTGGACTGCTTGAGCTGCCATCTTCAACGAGGCTCACAGTTACAGCAGCCGCTGAAATTATGAACTTCAATTAATATTGACAATACCTATTGAATAGTGGACCATCATTTACATACATTTACAAAATGTATGTAAATGATATATATATCATTTACATACATTCATATATATATATATATATATATATATTATGTATATAGTATATATATATATATATATATATATATATATATATATATATATATATATATATATATATATTGCCGTGTAGAGGCGGTTAAGAATATCCACTACCCCATATCTTCCCGTGGGTGTCGTAGAAAGCGACAAAGGGAAACAGGCAGGAGATGAGCAGCAGCATCTTCCTGATAACAGCAAAAGTACAATAAAAAAAACCTGCAGTTGCCAACCCGCTCGCCAAGCGTGGCAACTATGACAAATACCCCCCAATGAAGAGAGCAACAAAGAGACGGCCCCCAGTCCCCGGCGGCCCCGCTATTCTTGGCTACGGTGGCGACCATGGTAACGGCGGGGCAGGGGGTGCTAAGAATCTCCGGTGGACGTTCGGTTGCCACCTAAAACGAGTCGACCTGGCAACATACAACGCACGCACCCTGAGAACTGACGAGAAGATCGTGGAGCTGGAAGAAGAGATTGACAAGTTACGCTGGCATATTATAGGATTATCCGAAGTCGGAAGAGAGGGGGAAGACACGGTAATCCTCCAATCCGGTAACTTGCTCTATCACCGGGAGGGTGACTATCTGTCCCAAGGAGGTGTCCGATTTATCGTCCACAAGTCTCTCGTTAACAAGGTTGTAAAGATTGAGGGTGTGTCGACGAGGGTTGCGCACCTTATACTCAGAATCACCAAACGGTATTCGCTGAAGGTCATACAGGTTTACGCACCAACCTCGGCACACCCCGCTGAGGAGGTGGAGGAAATGTATGAGGATATCTCTAGAGTCATGCATTCCTCCAAAACCCACTATACGGTGTTAATGGGAGACTTCAATGCAAAACTAGGCACAAGAAAGAACGGTGAGCTGAAAGTAGGGAAATTTGTAATAGGGCAACGGAACCCAAGGGGCCAGCAGCTGTCGCTCGATCGCTTCTTCAATACAGTTTGTATTGAAGAAGCGATCGAGCGGAACCAAGGCTCCAAAGTCTTTGCCAGAGACCTGTCTGCCAGAAAGAGCCAACTGTCAAAGCTGAAGACCGAGTGTGGCAGCATCGTTTCCGGGACACCTGAGATTTTGAGTGAGATTGAGAGGATCTATGGGCAGCTGTACACGTCATCGTTGGAGCCACACGCAAGTGTGAGTAACGATCCAAGAGCGAGTCTTATCCGACACTATTCCGAAGATATCCCGGACGTCAGTCTGAGCGAGATTAGAATGGCTCTCCGGCACCTTAAAAACGGCAAGGCCCCAGGCGAGGATGAAATTACAGCAGAGTTTCTGAAAGCGGGTGGAAAACCGGTACTTAAAGTCCTTCAGAAGCTCTTTAATTCCGTCCTCCATGGTGGCGTTACACCGGAGGCGTGGAGCAAAAGTGCGGTGGTCTTGTTCTTCTAGAAACGTGACAACGCTCTCTTGAAGAACTACAGACCGATTTCCCTTCTGAGCCGCGTCTACATGCTGTTTTCGAGTCATTACGAATCGTCTCGCGCGCAGATTTGATGACTTCCAGCCTCCCGAACAAGCCGGTTTCCTTCGGCAAATTGTACAGAAGTCTGAAGAGTACAATTTGCCACTATGTTGGCGTATGTGGACTATGAGAAAGCCTTTGATTCCGTCGAAATTTGGGCGGTGCTGCAGTCCCTTCAGCGGTGCCAAGTTAACTGTCGGTATATCGAAGTGCTGAAGTGTTTGTACAGTAGAGCTACGATGGCTATCCAAGTACAGAATCAGAGTACGAAACCTATCCAAATGCAGAGAGGTGTAAGACAGGGTGACGTTATATCCCCGAAACTCTTCACCGCTGCATTGGAAGACGTTTTCAAGCTACTGGACTGGAAAGGATGCGGTATTAGGTAGAGCGACCCCCACTAGATGGAGTGACGACCTGGTGCAGGAAGCATGCAGGAAGTCGATGGATGCAGGTGGCTCAGGACCGTGCTTTGTGGCATTCCTTGAGGGAGGCCTATGTTCAGGAGTGGACTTGTGAAGGGCTGTAATGATGATGATGATGATGATGATCCTTAGGAATAGTAAAGAATGAAAAGTTGACATTAATATTGTTATTTAAGCACCCGTATGCTATGCAGTAAGTATCTTTTGGCTTATTGAGAAGCCATACTTGATTAAAAACCCAAAAATAAATATCAAGTGCCTAAATACTTATTAGAGAAAAATAATTTTTATGTTAACATAAGGCGCATGTTTCAGCTCGAGCGTGCGCGTGACAATTCAAGGTTTCACGCAATTAGCTTCATGTAGAAGGCCACGCAGCGTAGGTATATTCTTCTTCGGAATAGTAAAGTATATCCTAAGGGTACCGAAATGTAATATATTATTATTTATAGGTATAGATAATTGTCGGTACGATATGCACACCACCTAGTGCAAGTTAACTGTACTATACCTATAACCTTCGCTCAAATGCAAGTAATAAGTTGACAAAGTTTTATCACAATCTGATGAACAGTATGCTAGCGTATAAAATATGAACAAACAAACATTAATTTTTATATATTAAGATGAAAAACAATAGACTAACACAAATAAATAGTCAGTTATAGTTAAGCTTTAAACAAAAAACAGAATGTGGACATGGTTGTCACCTGATGGTAAGTCTAAAAATCAAATTGATTTCATAATGACCAATAAACCTAATTGCTTCTCAAACATGAATGTCATCAATAATCTAAATTTTAAGACCAACCACCGCATGGTCAGAGCTGAACTGAATTCATCCCAACCCAAGAACCCCAGGCCAAAAATAAATCTAGAGAATGTAAAACCTAACAAATATCTAATAAAAGAAATAGCCAATTCATTAAAGTCAAAACTCAAGGAATACAAAAGAGAAACAAAATATGCCGACATACAGGAGAAATACAATTAGTTAGAACGTACAATCACAAACACTAGTAAAGAGCATAGCACCAAAAAAGAAAATTCAAACAATTGGATGACGAAGAAACTTCCGACCTCCTCGACCAAAGAGCAGCTCTAATAAGTACGAAAACTACAGACAACAATAGAAAGAAAATAGCAAAAATTAGCAAAGAAATAAAAGAAAACATAAGGAAAGACAGGAGACAACGACGGATGGAAACGATAGAGAGACATATTAAACAGACAGGAGGAATAAAGAAGGCGTATAAAGCATTAATTAATAAAAAAGAGTGGATTGTAAAGATGAAAAACAACAACGGGACCAGGAAGATTAGTAGATTAGTAGTAAGTATATCCTACTTAAGATTGCTACAGATTACTACACTGAACTATACAAAAACAACACAAACGAAAGGGAAATAGACTTATCAGAGAACGAAACTGTACCTTACATCATGCAGGAAGAAATGGAAAAGCTATTGATACCCTGAAAAACGATAAAGCTCCATGACCAGACGGCATAAGCAATGAAATACTGAAACAAACTAAAGCATTAATTACACCTATACTCACAGACATTTTGAACAACGTGATTAACATAGAAATCATCCCAAACCAATGGACTGAATCCAACATAATCGTCCTGTTCAAGAAAGGAACTCACTGCGATATTGGAAATTAACAGCCTATTAGTCTAATGTCTAATATTTATAAGACCTTTGCAAAGATTATTTTGAAAAGATTAGAAAGCAAATTAGACGAATAACAGCCCATAGAACAGGCAGGATTCCGCAAGGACTTCTCGGTACTAGACCACATCCATACCGTAAGGCAAATTATAGAAAAATATACTGAATACCAGCTTACATATTACATAGCCTTTATTGATTATAATAAAGCGTTTGATTCTCTGATACACTCAAAAATCTGGGAAGCCTTAAAGGAGCAGGGCATAGAACACAAATATATAAGGATTATAAAAAAGATTTATAGACACAGTACGGCATGTATCCAACTAGAAAAGAAGGGAAGTATGTTTCAAATACAAAAAGGCGTTAGACAGGGGGACCCCTCTCACCAACACTTTTTCTGGCTGTACTAGAAATGATCTTCAGGAACCTTGAATGGAGAGACTTAGGCATAACCATTAATGGCCGCATGCTAACGCACTTATGATTCGCGGATGATATAGTATTATTTGCAAAAACACCAGATGATCTAAGCAAAATGATTAATAACCTAGCATCAGAAAGTGCAAAGGCCGGATTGAAATTAAACCCGGAGAAAACAAAAATCATGACCAATGGCAACAAAGATCCTTAAACAGTGGAACAGACTCAAATCTCCTATGCTGACGAATACATATATCTGGGTCAACTGATGTCTCCAGAAGATAATATAAATAAAGAAGTCGAAAGAAGAATTGCGAACAGCTGGAAAAAATACTGGGGCCTAAAAGATTTAATGAAAGACAAGAATTACTTAATCTACACATTTCAACAAAAAGCAAACTATTTAACACATGCATCCTTCCTGCCTGTATTGGCATACGGAAGTGAAACATGGGCTTTAACAAGAAACATATCAAACAAACTCTCCATATGCCAACATGCCATGGAAAGGAGTATGGTAGGAATCAAAAGGATGGACACAATAGGAAATAGCAGCATCAGAAACAAAACTAAGGTCCAGGATATAACTCTAAAAATAAGAAGACAAAAATGGAAATGGACAGGCCACTTGATCAGAGGAAAAGACAAATGGTGAAAAATAATAACACAATGGTACACAAGGGATGGAAAAAGAAGGAGTGGTAGACCACAGAGAAGGTGGGATGACAATATCAGACAAGTCGCATTACATGGGGTAGAGTGGCCATAGAAAGGCCAGAATGGAGAAGATTGGAGGAGGCCTTTGCCACCTGGCAAACGGACACACAAAAATGGAACAAAAGAAAAATATATGAATAACAAAGAAATACTATTTTTTGTCCGATTAAAGGCTTATTATTATTATTATATATAGTTAAGGACAATAATTAAGATATAGTGGTATAAATTTTAAAGAATCACATTTTCTCACAGTCGATTATATGTAGCTTAAGCTTAATATCTGTCTTAAAAGGTAAATTTTCTTAGTTCACATTTGATAGAATCTAGCTAACTTTCTCTGAACGAAGCAACGGTGAATTAGCTAGTATACTATAGATTATTCAATTTTTGGAGAACTTCTCAGTTGCCACAAAGTCACCATGAAGCTCCTATGCAGTAGAGTCCACTATTCCATGTCATGCCGTGAGCATTGTAACAGTTGACACAGGGAAACAGAAACCAGGAGATGGTTAGCAGCATATTCCTGATAACAACTCAATTAAACATTAAAAACTACAGTAGCCAACCTGCCCGCCGAGCAAACTGTATTAATTTAGAATAAATTTTCTACCATCAGTAAATCACCAGATCCTAACTTCGTCTGCTGTTGGCACCTAAAAGGTAACAACATCTTCTCCTTCTGTTTTGTTGATTTATTAATCTAAATGATTCTCGAATCAACATAATCACACACAAAATTTTATCAAATTCAGTCCAGTTGTTTAGGTGGAATTCAGTAACAATACACAAGGATGGAAGAATTTTATATATATATTGCACACCTAGATCTAAACAGAGTTAACTTAAAAAAAACAGTTTTTTTTCAGAAAAGGCGAAAAACTGATTATCGTATTCCTGTGCACTGCAGGAGTTTTCTGTATTGATCAATGCTTTTTAAATGCAGATAGAAGATAGATGTTATAGAAATCTTGTGTTTTAATCGTTTATTGTGGCTGAAAATTGGATTTTTGTAGTTATTTCCGAATTGTTTAACAAATGTATGTATATTAATTTTGTATTTAGAGTTGAACCTGTGTTGGTGAATTTAGTTTTTAGTTGACTCCCTTTTGAAGATTCAATGTAAATTTTAACGCAACAGCATTTTGAATTTATTTATAATAATCCAGCTATTATAGGGGTCTGTGATCAACAATAGGAGTACATTGGCTAATGAATTAATAAGAAAACATTAAATTAAGTACTCAAAACAAACATATTTTTACTTAACAGTATAATATATAATAATATTACATTAAAATAATAAAAAATAATGACAGCCTTTTACGTTCTCTAATTATATACTTCAAATAAAATTATCTTATAAAATAGTAACACAACATAAAATGTATAGGAACCTTCCATTCTATGAAAAACATCTAAAAACACATTTGACTCATATTTGTATGACATTTTTCTAATAGATATTATAAGGCCATTATTACAGAACGAAACTCAGGACTCTGTTAAAACCGTGTCTGTCTGTTAAGAGCAGTTTTAATAATATGCTTAGTCAAACTCTGAGGTCAACAAATCATAGCACTAGAATTGTTCTTGAGCTAGAATAAAGTTTTGAGCACCATACTATTGGCAAGACATTAATGCCCAAATATTCAAACGCTGCTCAATTTTAAGATGCCGTTTAGTCTCGTGCTGTTTCTATCACTTTTAAAATTTGCGAGTCCGAAAAATGCGTCAAAAAGCATTTGTCTCGATATTTCATCAATCTTATCTTTACATTTTAGCCGACATTTTTCTCCAAAGGGGTTCCAAGTTTTCTCTCTGGCCTTTGTGTCATTCTTATACGAGGGCGGCACTGAAAATTTCGGGAATCAAGGAAGTGACACAACAATAAAATAAAATATGTAATAATAACAATAAATAAAAATGTATTTATTACTTTTCGAAGTATTCTCCGTGAAATTTGACACATTTTTCCATACGATGGAACCAATCATTGAAGCAACCATTCCATTCGGAAGTTGGGGTCTTCAAAATGGCCGTTTTGTAGGCGTCCACAGCTTCTTCAGGTGATGAAAATCTCTGTCCACGCAATTTATTCTTTATTTTAGGGAAAGTATAGAAATCATTAGGGCTTAGGTCGGGGCTGTACGGCGGATGGTCTAATAATTCTAGGTTTTCTTGCTCTAAAAACTCTTTTGTTCTGTGTGCGGTGTGAGAACTCGCATTGTCGTGATGAAGGATGATGCGGCGGTTGCAGTTCTCTTTACGGAAATCAGAAACCACCTGTGGCAAACAAATGCCAGCATACCATTCTGCATTAACCGTTCTTTGTCCCTCAAGAGGAATAGTCGTAACATGGCCGGTTTTGGAGACAAACATGGCCACCATTTTTTTTGCAACACTCCGTGAACGAACAATTTTTGTTGGCTTTAACTCATTTTCGAACACCCAAACTCGTGACTGGTTTTTTGTTTCAGGTTTGTACGCGTATATCCAGGATTCGTCACCTGATACGATGTTGTATACAGCATTTGAGAATCCTGCGTGGAATCTTTCGAGAGTTCTGACGCACTAAGTAACGCGAGCCGCGTTTTGCTCTTCACAGAGCGAATGCGGTATCCATCGGGAAAACAACTTTTTTTACACCCAATTGTTCATGCAAGATTATTTGTATTTGACTCATGCCAATGTCTAAAGTTGCCTGAATTTCGCGATTTGTCACATGTCGATCTTCCTCAATCAGCTTACGCACAGCATCAACGTTTTCTTGGGTGACTGCAGTTTTTGGACGACCTTGATGGGGATCATCACTGAGCTTGACACGTCCACATTGAAATTCAGCAAACCAGCGACAAATTGTGGTTTTGGATGGGGCTTCATCACAAAATGCAGAAATCATCCGGTCAACACAATGTTTTTGTGTTAAACCACTTCGAAAGTCATAATAAATCATTGCTCTTGAATTTTCTCGAGTCCATTCCATTTTCTCAATGACTAAACAAGTTTGACAAAACCTTGTGACAAAACCGAGAATCTTTTTTTAAATAAATAAATGGTATTAGATTTTTAAAAGCAAGGAGTTTTCAATTAAAAAGATTTTAATATGACAGGAACAGTGGAAATATTCCATTCCCAATACTTTTTGTGCAGCCTATGTATATTCGACTTCGGCAGACTGGTAGACTTAACCAGAATCTCTCGGCACTTTTGCAACTTTCGATTTCCACATTGTTAGTTTTCTTACTCTCTATTTACCCCTTTTTATTCTTTTAAGGACCTTGGGCATTCATTTCAGCAACCTTAGCATTTTGAGGGTTGAGTTGTACATGTGCACTATCATTTTCGGTGTCCGACGAACTACTAGAACTTGATAAACTCTTGGAGCACTTCTGCTGGTACTGCGTGAAGACAACAATAAATTTTTATTTTAATGAATCAGTCAGAAATTGGGATCTTTATCTGAGTTATCAATGCAACTTTCGTCAGTTTGGATTGGTGAAATGTAATCATTTCTTGCACCATTTTAACATGGTAGAGCCATGCTGCAGTTATATTATACTTGTAGAACGAATTGGTCGGTTTAACCGGGGAAGGACCACGCTCTCGCAGAATACCAGCGTAAAAGAACAGCTTAATGCTGCTGTTTCGTATGGTGAGTGTAGAGAACTGGATACCCTTTTTACTGGAAAGGAGGCATTCCATCTTAGTGCTCACTCTTATCCTATAAAAAAACATTCTGCTGTTGTTTAGACGTACGCAAAGTAGATTATCAACCACGAATAAGGCGCAATGAGTTTCCTTGTATGAGTCTTCATTGCTTAATCTTGAGGTAATCTTCTAGCTAGCGACCTGTTTACTATTTACTAGTATAGTCTCCTTCTGTATTATTTGTTCAAACTCCTCTTCCAAAGGTCTAGTATAAGGTTGCATATTTTCATATTGAGTCAGTAAGCTAGGGCTAATGTTTTATTTGCCCCTCTCTTAACCATATTTACTAAAAACCGTTCACGATAAATTATTTTTCTAAAATGGAAAATGTAAATTTCACTAATCATCAGGTCCAGTACGCCACATCGATTTAATAAGCAATCGATTTAACTCTTTGATCTCATTCAACTTGATGCAGTGTACTGTAGCCCATCTAAACAGCTCTAACTCAAAAACTGTTCAACAAAAACACAACAAGCTGTGTAATTGCCAGTATGAAAATAATATATACATTAAGATGAAAAGACTTATTTATCACTAGCAAAAAAGTTAAAATTAATTTGTTTTTAAAAGAAATATAAGAGTTTAAAAAATTACTCAACGAAATAGAGTCAACTACAAATTTTTCAAAAACACGCTAACAACACTGGTTCAACTCAAAATGTAGCTTTAAGTTACTCAGCACTCACCATCAAAATGGTGACAACTCAAAATAATCTTAATATAGTTCCCTGATTTAACTGAGCAACACAGAATTAAATCAAAATAACTCTAATTTGTTCATGAAGGGCACGTGCGTTCAGCTTGTAATATTGACTACAACTAGCAATGTCCCTGTTTTGATGGGAAAGGAGTGGTGCTTGCTCGTTCAACTAAAGGGGCTTCTATGGTCACCTAGCTTTAAGTTGTAGAACTATTTTTCAATCTGTTTTATTGGTCGCTAGGTAGTGACTTAAAGGAATTTAGGAGTTAGCTCCCTTTAGATCTAGGTGTGCGATATATATGTGTGTGTATATTTATATATATTTGTATATATATTTATATAAAAATGTTGCTACTTAAATTTAAATCACTATATAATTCTTTATTACAAATTTAAGTTTCTACAAATTTTTCACTTTGTTTTAGTCCGATCACTTGCTTCCCAGTATTTTCGATTGCATTCCCAGTTATAATTCACAGTTATTGAAATGGTCTTAATCTTTTTGTCAGATTTATCTTCTTAACCTTTGCTATACCTAACACTTTTGATGATGTACATAATTACATTTTTGTAAATGAAAGGAACATATTCATGGAATTATATCGAATATTATAAAAATGTAAGCACCAATAATATATTATAACTTGAAGAAATAAAAAAAATCTAAAAATACTAACGTAAATTCCCGGCGGACCTGGTGCGTCGTCGTAATCCCAGCTTCCGCCGCTCTTGCCGGCAGCAATTACTCTCTTCGAGCGCCAGGTTTAGGTCATGAGACAACCTTTCCATGATCTTTATACGCCAGCGTCGTATCCAAAGCCCATCATATACACTTACAAAATGAATCTAGAACTTACGGTGCATATCGCTATGTAATGCTTGTTTTTGGCCTACTTCCCACCTGTAAGTAGTACCTTGCTAAACCACTGTACTATTGCTGATGTAAATAAACCGTGAACGATAACTTGTCTCAGATAACGTTAAAATATTTTCTCTCAGCACTCGAATCTTGCTATTGGAAAAGTTTTTAAGAACAGTTAAAAGATCATTACTGTTTCAAGACAATAAAATTTTTAGGCGAATAAAAAACGAATAGTAAAGTAATGGATGATTTTTATTTTTGTTTAAATATAATAATTCTTTTATTTATCTTTTTTCAAAGTTATGATATTTACTTCGTCACATAGGCACATCTCTAGGGATCACACAAACACAAAATAAATAACAAAAACAATTTGATAATTATCATGACAAGGTAAAATGACATCAAATCATAGACAAGTAAGTAATAAAAGATCCAAACGTCAAAATCGTGGGAAATACAAAGTTAACCACTCAATCACCACCAAAGATATAAGAATAATACTATTATTCAATATTCATATATCTATTTTTTGCGCCCAGATGTAAAGAAAAGGGCTACCCTCCGGGAAGCGGGGGAGGGAGGTGGTGAATGCTCGTAGCATACCAACCACGCCGCGAGCTGCATGGTTATGTGGCACTCACTATAAAGTGCCTACCCACTAAACAACACCTGTGGGACTGGCTCTAATCTTGAGTGGGCTCTTTGCCGCATCGGAAGCGACGTGATGTGGGAGTTGCGTGAGCGAGAATGCACTCATCGTACGGGGACGGTGAGCGCGGGCACCTAACACCACTGCACGGGGGCGGCCACGTTAACGGAGACGGGGAGGCACTCACCGTACGGGGACGGTGAGCGCGGACAGCTGACACAACTGCACGGGTGCGGCGGCGCTAGCTGAGGCGGGAAGGCACTCACCGTACGGGGACGGTGAGCGCGGACCGCTAATACAACGACACGGAGGAAGCGGTACTAGTGGAGGCAGGAGGGCACTCACCGTATGGGGACGTAGAGCATGGACAGCTAACACAAACGCAAGGGGGCGGCGACGCTAGCTGAGGCGGGACGGGACAGGACTGACGTTTTATTCTTCGAACTGAACTGTCTGAGGAATTCCCGTACGGGGACGGGTGCTCGATCAGCTAACACCGCTCGGGAGCGGCGGCACTAGCCCACAACTGCACGGGGGCGGCGGTGCTAGCGGACTCCGCTAGCGCATGTCCGCACGGGAGCGACGTCGCAAGCGGAATGAGAGAGAAGGGAGAACATATTTTTTTGCGCCCATAGCGAGGCTACCCTCCGAAAGCGGGGGAGGGAGGTGGTGAATGCTCATAGCATACCACGCAGCCGGCTGCGTGGTTATGTGCGGATATGCGGGACTCACTATGAAGTGCCTACCCACTAAACACCACCTGTTGAACTGGCTTTAGCCTGTATGGCCTTTCTGCCGAATCGGAAGCGACCCCCTTTGGGGAAAGGGGGCGCAGACTTATACATATCTACGATTACCACCGACTTCTAGTCTAGACTAGTCAAACCTATGGTCAAGCCAAAGACTATAGTAGATCAGGCCAAACACAATTTTTTTTTAAATGAAAGTAAATATAACTTAGAGCAATCACTATTTTCTTATACAAATATAAAAAATATCAACAATTAAAATATGGCATTATTTGCATGAAGTCAGCCTGACAGGTGCATCACCGACCATACCTTCCGCTGGGACATACCGAGCCGGCGTGTTACAATGTTTGTTGAGACATTAGGGTCGTCAATAAAACGTTGCATAATTGTTTCTTCATCGTCTGCCGTAAAACGTCGAGGTCTGCCAGTATCCACTTGATTTCTGTGAATAGTGCCGCTTTCACTTAATCGTCGATAGGTAGCTCTGAAGACAGAATCGCTTCGCGGCCTTTTGGCTAAGATCAAAGTGTAGTATCTGTTCTTTTCAGCTCTGAAGATAGAACCGTGGGGAAGCCGGCGATCAGGAAAACAACGTTGATATTTTCTACGAGTCCCAGAAACATTGACGTCAGCAAAACCATAACAGTACATGATGTCGGCATATTCTTTATTGGAATATGACGCCATTTTAACTTCGACGCACAAAAACAGTAACAATGAACGGTCAGTAACAGGTAACGGTAACAGCAATAATAACCTTTTTGGATAGCTGATTAAATGGCCATATTTTTTTAAAATAATTTTATGTCTCATGTCCACTGACCTCTATTTAAACAAATACGCTGGACTTGCTATGCCATACAAAATACTTATGCCGAATTGAAGCGCCATCATTGTCCGTACCGGGAACTAAAATTGACATAACATGCCAAGGTCTGTTGTATTATTTAAATTTATGTTTGATTTTAGGGCTTAGTTTTCCATTGACGTCCATCGAGTTGGGTGTTATACGTATTTTTACAGAAAAGTTACACTATTATAAGTACACACACAAAGTTTCAACATGGGGAAACGTGTAATTTTTGAGAAATTTTTTTATTGATTATCAATTATTCTTGCAATGTTAGTCTTAATAGTTATGTCTAATCTATGGAATGTAGAGTATAAGGAGAACCATCTTATAAGGGGGTGAAAGATGAAAAAGTGTCCTACTATTTACTGAAAATAGAGGTTCCAAAACCTACCACAATAGCACTGGCGTCTGAAAAACTATGATATGAAGATAGCTGTTGTGAACGGAGTGAAGTCAGCTGAATTCAAATATTTAAAAAAATTTATGACTAAAGTAGTTAGTAAAATGCCAGTAAACAAAATCTCAACTATTTACGTTGTACAAAACCAAGCGGATTGGTCGGTCCTTGTTTATTTCTCCATCTTATTCTAATTACTTTTGGCGCTTTTTTTTTAATTTATCTTATGCTACTGCAGCTCCACCCTTATTGGACACTTTTAAGGGACACTTCATATATAGAGATGGTCCTCCTTCTACTCTATACTCCATAGTCTAATCCTACCGTAAAACTGGCGCCATTTTGTAATGTCATTGTCGTCGTCAGTAGGGATGTCGATTCTTTCCGAAAAAGGTCGATTTTTAAATCGATTCAAATCGTAAGCTGATGTATCGATTCACAAAAATCTATTTCTAAAACATCTATATTTTTTTCATGTTTACATTTATAATGTAAATATAAATCCATTTTATGAAAAACAAGAAAGATACCATAATAAATGATCTCTTATTGAAATTTATTTTATTTTAACAGTACCTATTAGGGCAGATAACAAATAAAATAGGTTAGGTTCAACTTATGTCAAAGAACCGAATTGATTGACCCTGACGCCACCTGGTATGAGTCTGTCCTACCCCTAGAGTGGTTTGGTGGAAAAAAAATTGAAAATCAACTATTTTTGCAATATTCATGTCAATTCCTACCGTACAACTGACGCCATTGACACAGTGGAGTCGGGGTCAATCAATTCGGTTCTTTGACATAAGTTGAACCTAACCTATTTTATTTGTTATCTGCCCTAATTGGTACTGTTAAAATAAAACAAATTTCAATAAGAGATCATTTATTCTGGTATCTTTCTTGTTTTTCATAAAATGGATTTATATTTATATTATAAATGCAAACATGAAAAAATATAAATATTTTAGAAATCGATTTTTTGTGAATCGATATTTCAGCTTACAATTCAAATCTTTTTAAAAAAATCGATCTTTTTCGGAAAGAATCGACATCCGTACTGACAATAACAATAAAAAATGGCGTCAGTTTTACGGTAGGAATTGACATAAATATTGCAAAAATAGTTGATTTTCAATATTTTTTTTCTTAAAAAGTACGTGTCCCCGAATGTTGAAATTTTGCGTGTGTGTTTATAATAATGTAACCTTTCTGTAATAGAAATATCAACCGCCAACTTGACGGACGGCAATGGTGATTGCATAAATATTGCAAAAATAATTGATTTGTAATAATTTTTTCTCGTAAAGTACGCGTTTCCGCATTTTGAAACTTTGCGTGTGTGCTTATAATAATGTAACCTTTCTGTAAAAAAATATCAATTCCCAACTCGACGGACGTCAATGGAAAGTCTTACCGATTTTAGTTACATAATAAGAATTATTTTTAGTAATAATGAGAGTGTGCCTAATATGTAAAACTAGTTACCAAAAGGAAAGTGGGATAACATTCCACAGGTAGGTAAGTGAATGTACAGCTAATATTAAGCAATATATTATCAAATAGTTTTAAGTAAGTAAATTAAAACTATTTAATAATATAGGTACTTAAACATTTGTTACTAATCTTAATATCGTAAGTAATTACCAAGATGTTTGTCTTTATATTACTGAGTTTTGATAAACAATAAAATTCAATAGGGTTGTCGAGTTCCTTGTCTATAATACTGTTCACAACCAACCTACTTAGAACTAGAACCTAGACTAAAATTATGGCTAAAAAGCACAAAAATTGTGAATGCGTAAGAAGCAAAATGATTATCTTTGTTCTCAACACTTCACAGACGACTGTTTTATTAGACATGAGAAACGCTTCGAAAAAGTGCAGTATACCCACAATATTTTCTGAAAGTACCAGTACCATTAAGTATAAATGTGTTAGTTTATTACTTAGAATGTTTTTTTTTTTATTTTTCTTTCCTTATTTTCCTCCAAACTCAAGGGCCATAGCCAAGTGTAGATAGGTCGCCTGATGATGACTTTGTGTTTGCAAGAGGTAAGTTTGTTAAATCTGTATAATTATTATGACCAATTTATTGTATCAAGGGAATAAATTTAAATTGGAACTGCAAAATTATTAATGTCCTTAGTGAGCTTGCGTGAGTTTAGGTGGGAAATAACTCCGCCCTGAACGGATTCCCGCCTTGTCGTGGCGGAGGGGAGGGGGGGGGGGCGTTAGTAGTCGTGTCTTGGTAACCCATGGTAAACGTAGGGTGA